GTGTTTTCCAGGTGGCAGGCAGAGGGGAGACCAAATCAGTTGCTAATGGTGAGTTTTTCCACGCACAGGCATGCGTGCGGCCGCTCTGAAGAGTTCAACTTCACTGGCTCATTCTGAGCTGGGCCACTTTGTCTGCTTTCTTCATTTGTGTAATTGAAAAGACTGGGGGATTTCCTCAATCCACAGGGGTACACACTTAATCCTTTAGTTGAGGTGGAAATGTGGAAATGAAGTTAGACAATCGACTAAAGGACAAGGACATCGATTATCTCATTGTGTACAGGCAGGAGCTTCTTGTAACAAGCGAGGAGCGACAGAAATTCACGTGTTCGCTTGACTCCCCCAGCAGCAAACTTTTCCACTTGTGTTTGTTTGGACACATGTCTAAGCACTTAAGCATTTTAATTTTTGTCGGGATTAGAGGCATGACCTCACCTGCGCTTTGACTTACACAACACCGTGTGTTCCAAAGCGCATAACTGGTCCTCCCACAGGCAGCCGTGCAGTATTTCGGTTTGCGGTTTGGCCTTTTGTTTGGCTGCTGCTTTAGGATGCCACTTACCCATACATTGTTTGCTATTTTAAAATCAGATCCGAGCACAGCCTCCTCCTCAGGCAGAAGAGAGCTTTTGGCCTTGAGAGATTCCACACATGTCAGCGTAATGCGGTGTTTGTTCAGAGCACACACACACGCGCACACATAACCAATTTCACCTTTATGAATGCTCTCAACAGCCTTCTTGACACCACTCAGACCTTTCAGCTTTTCCACTCTTGCACACGTCCACGTCTGTTGCTTAGATCCGGGCAGCGTTACAAGCAGCATTCCTGCCAAGCCGGTTTGTCACATTAATAACTGGTATGTTCGAGATTAGCACACCATAGCAGTCTGACTCAGAGGATGAGAAAGAATTTGTTTCTTCTTTTTTTTTTTTTCTTTTTTTTTTTATTTCTTACTAAGAGTTGGCTGTCACACCGTACAGACATCTGACACCAGATCAGAAGTAACCAAGGGTCTTGAATGGCATTAGGACCTCTGTTAATATTATTATGTGGCTTGTTTTAGATGTTGGATTGAACTATGAAACAGGGAACAAAAATAAGTACTTACTAAGTGCTTAAAAACAACAATGCTTTGAGCCAAACAGTAGTGTCAGTAAACCTGTTAGCATGATTGCTGGGCTGAGAGAAAAAAACATCTGCAATAATTTGGTGGTTAACTGGAGAAACTGAACGTTTTGACCTGATGATGGTGTTAAATGAAAAGTTGAATTGAAAATTAGTACGATAACAATCATGTTCCTAGAAATACAATACTATGCAAAAATCTCAAGCCACTCCTCATTTCTTTATAGTTTGATAGAAAAATGGAAAATAGGTGCAGTGTTTTATTGAAACATTGAAGTACAGCATATAAGGCAAAAACAGATTGTGTACAATCCTCATGAGTTTGAAAGTCACCATTATTCTTCAACACAATCTGTACTCTTAGTTTTTGTCATCTCTTAAGGAGTAATTCTCCAGGCTTGTTGAGGGGACATTCAAAGCTCTTCTCTGGATGTTTACTGCCTTTTGCATCGTTTTCTGTCAGGACAATCCCACATTGTGTCAGTAATGTTGAGATCTGGGCTCTGGGGAGGACAATCCATGACTGATAGTTTTCTGGTGCGTGTTTTTCTGTCCCGATATGTTTGTAATGGACTGAGAGTGTGTTTGGCATCATTGTCACAGTGAAAAAAGAAGCTGTTGCCAATCAGACACTTTCCTCGTTCTGTTGCATGATGGATGGTATTTTGCTGCATTCATAATTCCCTAAATTTTGACAAGACCCCAACACCACTGGCTGAAATGCATTCCCCAAATCATTACAGATGTGTGTGTACTCACTGCTGTTCATATATATTTTGATGACGACTTGAACCAAAAATATAATTTGTAATCATCGCTCCATAGGTTCACTTGCCACTGATTTTGACACCAGTTCTCATGTAATTTGAAGTACCTCTGTGTCATGACTTGACATGACTTCTTTCCACTGGGAGCATTTCTGATATTAGTGATCAGTAGATGGATTCAAAGAAAGGCCATCTTTCAGATCCTGCGTCAGGTCTTTGCTTGGATTGTTTCCTGTTTCTTAAGGGCACGACTTACTCTTTAAAATTGGTTCTTTGCTAAGCTGTCTGTTATTCCATTTAACTTAAATGATTCACAGGTCAGCGTTAGGTAGCTTAACAAACAAAAAAGTTAATTTCTCTGTTACAAGGGGTGGTCTTTTAAAAAATATAAAAGACCTTCGGGAAACTTGAAGAACTCTTGCTCAAAACCAACAATATTTCACCAAAGTCTTGCTCCTTGTAATCAAAATATAAAGACGAGTGGTGAGTCAAGACTTTTCCACAGTACCATATGGAAAATTAGCAAAGCTATTTTGACTCCTTGTTTTGAAGTCGAAACAAGTCCAATAAACTCAGACTTCTGTGGAGCCAAATTTAAACACCTCACTGCTTGGTTTAACACAGACCTGTGTGGGAATATGGACTTGGAGTCAGGCCACTGATGTACTCGTTTTTGTGTCTTTCGATAGGTATGGGACACTAATGTCTTGAAGGAGCCACTAAAGCTGGGGACCACGACAATCCAAGAATCTTCTTTGACTTTTCCTTAAGAACCAAATGCCACACCCCCAGGAGGGACCCCCAAGAGCACGCAGGGACAGGACAGACACTGTCCGAGCACTGTACCGAAACAGCATCAGCAAATTGTTATAGGCTTACCACGTATAGTGCCTTTGCACAATAATTTCTGCTTTCTAAAAAAAAAAAAGTATGATAACAACAAAATGCTGTGAAATTTGGACATTTAAAATCACTAATTACTTTATTAAATCCTGCCAGGAAGACAATAAAACTAATAGAATTAAGATTTATGTCTCGTACTCCGTGCTGAGTGGATGAGTTCAAAAGTTTCCACATTCCAAAGAGATGGGCGATATCACTTCTCTCCCTCAGAATATTTTCCATCTCTCTCTTTTTTTATTTATATTTAAAGCAAAAGCTTCACACAATGCTATATTATTCAACGTTCACCTGTTCAGGATAGAAATATAAGCACTTCTAGAGTTTAGCTGATTTCACTTTTATTGTCTTACCAATAGTGCAGCAATGGTCTGAGTAATATATGCTAGCACATGTGATGTTTTGACTATGACCTATCATACTGTATCGTATATAACATCTGTATACTTATAACAAAAGGTATTTTTTTGCTTTTTTATTCATTCACCAACAGGCAGTTGATTTTGAAGGTGATAGGAGTGTTGGATATTCAGAAGGCCATTTTGACATTTATTGTCCTTTCATGTCATTTGTTTTTTTTAATTTATGTTTTAATGTTTTTTGGGGGGTTTTCTGAGTTCTTTCTAGCTTTCGAACACTTTAAAACATCTTCTGACATTCCTCTTAAAAGCAGTTGCACGTGGTGCCTTTGCTGCCTTAAAGTTTTATGATGTAGGTCATGTTTTTTTTTTTATCTGCCTTTAACTTCTTTTTTGCCTCTATGCACACTCTTATGCTCAGCAATACTTTTCATATTGAGGGCATACAAAGTAAAATCAGGGTGCCTAAACATATAGCAAGGTCATAGTAACAAGGATATTTACCACTATCTAAAACTTCTGGCCTTATGATTGCAATGACAGCATTTAGGACAGCCGAGGTACAGTACTTTAAAGCCTCCTAGCAGCTCAGCATGATTTTGACTTGTGATTTTTCACGTTTTCGCGCGGCACAAGCTTATAAGAATATGAACTGTTTGTCAGGGCATTAAATTGATCGGTGTTACTGCTCAACAATCTGACAATCACATTCCATGGCTCCTGAAAAGAGCAGGGGAGCTGGACCAAAATATTTTTAAGCATGATAAAATGTGACGTTTTTGTATTTTTTTAATGTAATGGTTTCATAATGTTGTGTTTTGTTTTGTTTTCTACAGCCTTGTGTCCACTTTTTAAATTTCCATGTTTAACCAGACACTTGTTCCTTGTGTAGCGCTAAGCCTATGCAGAATACATTATCTGTAGTCTCTCTCCAAATGTCATACAAGCAGGCAGTTTCCAAGCGGAGGAATGTGTTGAACATTGTAACCTTGACTCAACAACAGCAATAAATACATTGAGGTATTCCACATTGTTGAGTTTCCTTTCACACCTTCACTTAATACACTCACCAGATGCTTCTCTATAGTAGTACCAGGCTGGACTGCCATTTGCCTTCACAACTGCCTTTGTTTCTTGTATTCTGAATCTCTTGTTCCACCACATCCTAAAGGTGCTCCACTGGGTTGAGAACTGAACACAGTGGAGGACATTTGAGTACAGTGAACTCATTATTATGTTCAAGAAACCAGTTTGAGATGATGTGAGCTTTGTGACATGGTGCAATGTCCTGCTGGAAGCAGCCATCAGAGAATTGGTACTAAATTGGTCATAAAGGCACAGATATGGTCAGCAACAATATCTGGTGTTATAACCATATATAATATAATTTCTTCCTCCCCACTCTTGCCAAGTACTTCCTCACAGGAGGTAATCTGATTGTTGGGGTTTTTATCTCTATTATTTTAGGGTCTTTACAATATAAACAGCCTCAACTGTTGTGATTTGGCACTACATAAATAAAATGTAATTGAATTAAATTGGCATGAAACAGCCCAAGAAAATACCCTCACACCATGACACCACCACCACTGGATGGACCCATGCTTTGCTAGTTCTCGCTACAAAAGGATCGATCTGGTAAAGGGGTGGGCAACTCCAGGCCTCGAGGGCCGGTGTCCTGCAGGTTTTAGATATCACCCTGGGTCAATACACCTGAATCAGATGATTAGTTCATTGCCAGGTCTCTAGAGAACTGCAAGACATGTTGAGGAGGTAATTTAGCCATTTGAATCAGCTGTGTTGGATCAAGGACACATCTAAAACCTGCAGGACACTGGCCCTCGAGGCCTGGAGTTGCCCACCCCTAATCTAGTACCTTGCTAGTACTAGGTTGGACCCTGTTTGCTTTCAGAATGAAAGGGTATTAATAAAAGGTCCATGGATTTGTGTTATTTATGCCAAATTCCCAGCAGCTGGGGGAAGTCTGGTCATTCTCCTCTCATCTCCTGTATCTGCTCAAGGCATTTTCTACAGCAGAACTGCCGCTCACTGGATAAGGCCTCCACCAAAGTGGAAACACACCTCCACCTGGCTATGCCTAGAAATCCTGTCATTAAAATTAATATATAATAGGCAATCTTGGAAAAAGTTGAATATAATGAGTTTGACGATGGTCAAAATCGCAAAAACATGTTTCTGTATGAAATTATTTGGCTGAGGTGTAACTGAAGGTACAAGTTTGAAGGCAATTGTACTTCCACTCCAGCAGAGCACAGCTTTGTGGTGTCATTTCTCTAAAGGAACAAAAACCATGACGTTCTGACAGCCCTCTTTAAAATGACTCTAAAGTGAAAAGTATTTCCAATTTCTCCCTTCATGTGTAGCGGATTACGGTGAGCACTCAAAGGCAGCATGTCTGTCCAGGTATAACTCATCTGTCTGCCTCCAACAATAGAACTGACCATCCTGACCAGTCATAGAAAAGATATGTGGTCACATGACAAACAGGGCTGTATTAAGTGTGCGCTGTGGGTTGGGAGGCGGATGATTGAACTTGTCTTTGTCTGGCAGCTGAAGAATAAGACCAGTACTTGTGGCTAATCCCATTTTTTCTTCAAGGAATATATAGGAGGTAAGAGTTGAGCATGGCCATCATCTCAGGGTGCATGATGTCAAAAAGGCCAATAATTGCAATTAAAGCGCTCCTGAGTTAGATACGTAAAACCCATCAGCATGATCAAACGATTACCTGTTACTCGTACCTAGTGAGATGTAATGGATCAAACTGGCTTGGCCATTTTTATGATGACTTCTTCTTTTTTTTCTGTATTCTAATCCAAACTGTGTATATCACGCTGTGGAAGGTGCTAAGCTCGCTCCTGAGACTTTGGAGTTGGTTGCATGCTTTTGGCTTTAACTTAATGCTGCCTAATGCTGAAACCAGCACCCGCAACATTCTTGCCGCTGTCAGACTCTCTGTTGTTCCACAGTTTCAGCCAGACAGGGACTGACCGCATTCATTAAAGCAAATACACATTTAATACCCGGCCATGACAGCTCTCATACATTGTGAATTCTTTCTGGGTTTCCAGTTAGTGTTATTCTTCAACCAGATGGCCTTCTTTCATTTCAGCTTTCTCTACCTTTCTTGGTCTCGCTCACTTTTTCTTCCTTTGCATTGGCCCTTTGACGTCAGCTGCTGAGTTTAGTGCCACAAGTAACCACACTGGGGCCTCCACAGGCGCCGCGATGTGTGAATTTGAGCACATATGTAGCAGAATTTAAACGGAAGCATACATTTGGGGCAGTAACCATATACAGAAGGTGTAAATATGGCGTGCAGAGATTGAATGTGCAGCTGGTCAGGACGGCAGCCAGGCAGTGGGAGCGAGGGTGGAACTGGGGATGTGGAGCTAATTTTATTTCATCATCCATTCACCGTGTGCATGAGAACAAATATCTGTTACCAAATATGACTTTAAAAAGCAAGAGAGTCTACCCAGAGGTATTGTGAAAATGTTTCCCCAAACAATCAGCTGACCAAACTGCAATGGCAAAAATAGCCTGAGTCACAGCTCATTGATTTACTGTGAGTATGCGCGAGGTGAGCCAAGCCCATTGTCTGGAGGAGCTGTTCAGCACCTGTTCAAAAGCTTGCTCTGTTATTCTTATAAATAGACCCTCGCCCTCGGTCCTTCTATTCTGACCCACTGACATTGGCGTTTACGGTTCGGTGATTTATAAGCATGTGGAAAAAAAACACGGCCCCAGGAGGTGCTCTGCGCAACCATATTTCCGACATGTAACTGTTACATATAAAGAACCTTATTGAATCCCTTCCTCTGAGCAGCATGACCTTGACTCTGACATTTTGATGGCGTTGTTACAGAAGCTGGATCGACCGTGTTCCTATGTGAATTTTACTCTATGTATGATTTCATTTTCTTAATGTTAGGTAGCTTTCTCTGATTTCAAAGGGATACACCAATGATTACTTTCATGAAGGACCTCCACGAGAAACAGATAAAGACATCAGAAATACATTTGTTTGTGCTCTTTATCAAAATAAAGGTTGTGTTTTTACAGAGGGAGGTATTTACAAAACTATATCCTATTCCTGTGAAAGAAACGATGAAAAATTAAAAGAGAGGAGCTTGAGATGTCTTGACCTATGATCTGATTATCTATAAAGTTGTGAATAAGAACGTTTTCAGGGGCTGGATACAGTTCTGTGAAAAATTATGTTCATTCTTACTGCTTCCATGAAAATGCCATAATACATTAAATACTTCAAAACTTTGGTGTAACACAATAAAAGAGGCAATTTAATGATCAGTTTTTAAACAATTCAAATATGAATTTCGATTTTAAACCATGTATAATTTCCAGGTATAAAATGTAAAAACAATGCAGAAGTGCCTTAGACTTGCATTTATTCTAAATGTTTTCTTAGTGAATTAATGGGCTTCATCACTAGAATCAGATCCACCCCTCTACCTTACCCAGCTTTTGGCTTTTGTTTCTATTCTGAATACATTTTTTTTAATATTACAGTGAATGACAGATGTGCCAAGATGGCTACATCTGAAATCTCAAGCGTCAGCCTTCAAAACAGTAGTCCACTCATGCGTTAGGTGAACACACACTTCTTCCAAACCCCACGCTACAATTTTGTAACACAATCTTTTTGTTACAAGTCTAGCTTAACCCTCATGACATCCTCATGGCTGTATCAAGGTTGCCCTCTAAGTCTTTAGAAATCGAAATTCGGAACAGCAGCCACTCAGCCTGAGTAGTACAGATCATGACAAGAAAATTGATTTCTAAGTAAACAAAAAGAGGGTAATGGCCGCTTAATAAACCGAGCTTGTACTGAAATCAAATACAACTGCTTTTAAAAGAAATATATTAAGTTAAGCATTGCCATCACGCTAAATAGCACCTGTTATGATGGAGATTTCTTGCACTACTTCAAAGCCTTTTAAGTACCTGGGAAACTGTTTATGAGTGTACGTATCAAAGCCAATGCAATATGTGTGGCTGCAGATACATCAGTGCATCCCCGAAGAACTCATGCAAGCCTGATATTTTCAGCGCTTTTCAGACTCTAGTCGGCTGACTGCAGCCTTGATCAGCGCCAAAAGGAAATGGCTGAGGATTAGGCCTGGAGCTGTTTAAAGCCCTGGGCCTCTGCCTGCAGTGCCCATGGTGGAATCGTTTCGGATTCTACAACTGCTCCAATCTCACAGCATGTAGCCAAGTTGTTTTTTTTAATTTAAATATTTTTTTGTGGATTTTTGGTTTAGTTGTTTGCACAAATGATAAAAGTACCGAAAGGAGAAGAAAAGAAGAAAGATGTGATCCATCTGTTTGAGGGGAAAAAAATCTCGAGGGCTTGCGAAAACATTACAGGCAATGAGATGTCAAGGAAACAAACAATCACAGCAATCACAGCACGAAAATTTGTGAAATGTACAAATAAATATGAACGCCCTAATGACCCGGATGGATACGTGTGGGTATGATTTCGTGTTGTTTCAGCTTCTTTTCTTATGTAAAAATGTATCAAATTAAATTTGTGTGGCGACTTTTTGATGTTTTGCTCTCCGATGCAGGTAACTGTGATCCAAGATGTGTGATCAAGAGCTAGAAGTAGAAGTTATCGAGGAGATTCTGTGAGTACCTTCACTACGCCCTCGAAACACAGCTATAAATACACAAAATCAGCTGATTTTAAAGTTTACATCTTTGCTTCCTGCATTTTCAGGGAGGAAGGTAAGTAAAGGTTTTGTGAGAATTTGCTCTTTATATACCAAAATGTCATTCCTCGCTTCTATACGCTGACCTGATTATGTCTGCTCAGAGGCAGAGACGCAGCAAGAGGAAGGTAAAGGCTTCTTGAGTGGCTTTGCGTGTGCTTCATCTTGTTTCTGGTGTGTCTGTTGCCATTACAGTGTCTGCTGTCAGGGATAAAAAGCCATAGCAAGCTGGCTGTGTGTGTTTTCTTTTTGAATGTTAACAACCTCTCTGTCAACACCGATGTGTCAGCTCATGTTTAGCCGTCAGTTTATATTGGAAATGTCTCCGTGACATTTTCAGGACTGTACAGTTCATCTCAGTATGTATACAGTGTACTGTGGGTTTTAGTCTTCTGACAGGTTTACTAACCAGGTTGCCGATTTGACTCTTTCTAATCAGTTTGACTTTTAGAGAAAAAGTTTACTTAAATATGCTACTTTCACTCCACCGTGCCTGTAGCGACATGGGCCTTTGTTAAAATACACCAGGCTTACTCTTTTTAAATGATGGTATGTTATGCAATAGCTTCACATTTAATTATATTAATTTCTCAGTGGCTGCAGCAGCATTTTTAAATCACCTATCCCCAAAACAGCTATTTTCCAGATAAGATGGATTCCCATATATTTATTGTATTTGTACAGTAATTTTACCCCTACGTCCATGCTTAAGCGTCTCTTGTCACGTGACATATTTCCAGGCAATAATGTTAATGTGAGTGAAGGTTTTCTTCCAGTAAGCCTCTCTAAATCATGGTTATGTTATTGAAAGGGTGTGTTTTATGCCAAACCACAGTCTGTTTCTAAACATAACCAAGTACTTTGTCTCCTAAACCCAGCTCAGCTGTGAAAGAAAATTAAAAAGAAGAAAAAAAGGCAAACTTCTCTCTACCTTTGATAAGCCCTTCTTCAGACCCCTTTAGTCTTAGTTATGAGTTGCATAACATCTGTTTTGTTTTTGGAAAGGACTCATTTTAAGAACTGCACTCACCAGTCATTTGAAGAGGTACACCTACTCATCTGCTCATTAATGTAAATATCTAAGCAGCCAATCATGTGTCAGCAACTTATTGCGGCATGCAGAGATGGTCAAAATGACCTGTTTGACGCAGTTCAAACTGAGAATCTTTAAACATGGCATGGTCGTTGATTCTGAGTATTTCAGAAACTGCTGATCTGCTGAAAGTTTCTCACAAAGCTATCTCCATGGCCCCAAAAAGGGAAAATATCCATTGAGCAGCAGTTCTCTGGGAGAAAAATCCCTTTCTGATGTCAGAGGAGAATGGTCAGATCACAGTAACTCAAATAATCATCGTTACAACCAAGGTATGCAGAAGAGCATCTCTAAATTGCACAGCAGCAGGCTATAAATCCTAAGGGTTTACAAAACTGGAAAACAGAAGACTGTAAAAACTTATTCTGATGAGTCTCTGTGTCTGCTGTGATATTAGATAGGGTTGGAATTTGGCAATAATAACATGACAATCCACCCTTATTCTGAGGAAAGTCCCCATCACCTTGCTGAATCTATGCCACAGAGGCTTAAGAGAATTGGGAAAGCAAAAAAGGTCCAACCCAGTAGTAGTGGAACTAATAAAGTGTGGAGTGTAGTATAGTACAGTTTACAATTTGGTTGCATTGGCTAGCTTGATGAGTTTGGGAGCATCTGCTAGCTCAGGTTAGCACAAATATGCACATGTCAGACTGGCTAGCCAAACCACAATATTTTCTCAAACTTAACCAAGTAAACTTGGTTTCTTTACCCTAACAAAACTTCTCCCATTAACCACAATTACAGGAAACAGAAAAGCTAGCCTGGCTCTATCAAAAGGTACCTGAGCTGTGACAGTACATGCCCAACAGAAATTGCTGCTACCCTACTTATCAAACTTTTCATTTTGGAGAACTTTTACACTGAAGCATTCAGAGGCTACTTTTGTAAAGGAGAGGAGCGCTGATAAGCGTGTGGTAACAGTCATATATAAAACATGTGCTCAGGCTTTGCTTTGATATCTGGCCTGTTGCAAACCGCTCTCGTGTTCAGTTTTTGGCTTTGCTCAAAATGAATGTCAAACACCAGCACTGCTTCTCAGTGCATCCCCAAGAGACAACATCACAGTGCTCAGAGTGTGACCAAAACCCAGCCGCAAGCTGTCTGCAAGAGTCTCATTGATCCACTAATCCATATTTTGTTCACTCAGTCATGGAGACGCTGAAAGAAAAAGGTTTGTATGACTTTTTTTGTCTGTAAACAAAGCATGTTTCTTTACTTACACACTTGTGGGATATTATTGTGGTTGTTTCTGTTGTATCATGCCCTTTTTTGTGTGTTGTTGTTGTATTCACCCAAGAGCAACAGAAGTTTACTTCAATAAGTTTACTTCACTGTTCTTGCTTTGCAGAAGAAGCTGTTCCTGAAGTCGAAGGTAATTCTTCTTTGTACATTTTTTTTCCTCCTCCATTGTGAAGAAATGTTTTTCCTCGATTGTAACAATATTTATGGAGAAAAATTATGATTAATTTCATAAACTTGCACCATTCTAAACATCAGATGAGATCACTGAAATATAAAAAAAATGATTTTTAACATCGTCTCTCCCGTTTCCACATCAAATTGAAACGATACTTCATTCACTTCATCATTACCTCCTTAACTAAATCATTATAAACGTTCCTATGTTCAGTACTCGCTAATTATATGTTTGGCTCCCCAGGAGTTGCCTGCTGAGTTTGGCAGATTTATTTGCCAGGATCTTTGAAAAAAGAAAAAAAATAGAGACACCTACTCAGACAAAAGCGACTTTGTGCAATGCAAGAAGAGCTCTGGGTGTTGAAATTCAATTTTCATTTCAGATCACACATGTTTGACATTCATTTAGTCGTGTTTATCCCACGGCAAACATGTCTTGATTGTTTTAAGAAGGAAAATGCATTGCATCGATTAAAGAGTGACAGCAGCTAATCATATTTTCATTACTCTCACCCCTCAGAACCCCCGGTTTCAACAGCTGAAGGTAATGACCTCTTTTTCCCTTTTAGCTTTATAGGAAATTACGGCCTTCTTGCGAGGGTTTCATCACCAACTGTTCTTGTTATTTTCCTTAACTTTAGCGTTCCATTATTTAATAAACATAACAAATGTGTTCAGCGCCTTGTCCATCTACGAGCAGTCTTAACTGATAAGTTGTTTTCCATTTCCTGCAATCCTCATCTACTGTCTCCTCGCCTTGCCCTCGCCAAGAGCCTGCAGAAGACGGTAATGTATACGGGTGCATATACAAGACTATATCAGTTGTTTTTGTGCGCATCTTTGTCAGGTAATAAAATCCGATTGTTTTGATTTTCTCCTGTACCGAGGCATTCATTTGCAGCGTAAATATCTCAATATCGTCCAATTTTATTTTGGCCCTCATGGTTGATACACATTTATCAAAGAGATGCCTCCACTGTTTCAAGGTAAACTAAGGCTCATGGCTTGCAACCCCGAGAGTACTTAAAGCAACTCTAGTTTGACACGTTATACAGAAACGATTTAGACTCCATTTCCGACCCTGACATGCAAGAAAGATTTTCATATCAATAGACACAGGGTAAATATCAGAGCTGAGTGAAATGGAGTTTGGAAATAATAAAAGGAAATCCATTTGCATTCCACCTGCTGATGCACTAACATTTTCCTTTGTCCTTTTGCAGCCGAGTCTCCAGCTGTGGATGAAGGTACTCTTACATGCTGATAAGGCCTTGTGAAAATAGCTTGATCACTGCTCTAGTTTACCAAAAATGTCTGGTGTCTTCAACCCGCCTTTGATAACCAAACAAAAGGAAATAAAAAATCCACAGATGCTCTCCATCACTGCTAAAATAATGGAAAAATCCAATAAAATAAAGATTTTTAGGACACTGGATACACACATATACACCCATAATATATTATTATTTTCCCTGTTGCAGATATGACAGATGAATCCAAACCTAAACCAAAGTAGGGCTGGGTTTTGGTTTTTTTTTTGTTATTTGAATTTTAATCAGTTTATCCAACTTGCAAAAAGGTTGTTCAAAGTTCCTCTCATTGTAACACAGAGATGTTATATTTCAGGCTGTTTGCACCACCGCTGACTGTGCCAAAGATACCTGAGGGAGAAAAAGTCGACTTTGATGTGAGTGACTGAAGCCAATTTAAAGAAACAGTGTGGCATTTTTCAACATGGCTTGCCTTGGAGTTAGATGGGGAGAGCAGCGCTATTTCTTAATATGAATTTAGAATACATCTCTTTTTTTGGCAACATAGAACATTATTAATTTCTAATTAAAAATGAGTAGGTGGACTCACACTTAAAAAGACATAATCAAAGGCTTATCTGACTTTTGCATGTATCTACAAGTGGGTGTGAAGCACAGCTCTTGATAAAGCTTTGGTTATAAGTACAGGTCCTCTTCAGTTAAAAAGATACACTCAGCAGCCACTTTATTAGGTGACCTTACTAGTACCATGTTGGACCCGCTTTTACCTTCAAAACTGCCTTTAATCTTGGTGGCATAGATTCAACAAGATGCTGGAATCCTTCCTCTGAGATTTTGGTCCATATCGACATGACAGCATCACACAGATGCTGCAGAGTTCTCGGCTACTCGCCAATCATATCAATCTCCTGTTCTGCCACATCCCAGAGGTGCTCTAATGGATTGAGATCTGGTGACTGTGAAGACTATTTGAATACAGTGAACTCATTGTCATGTTCAAGAAAGTAGTTTAGGATGACTAAACTAGCAAATGAACTTTGTGACATAGTGCAGTTATCAGAAGATGGGTACACTGTGGTTATAGAGGGTTGGACACAGTCAGCAACAACACTCAGGTAGGCTGTGGTGTTTAAATGATGCTCAGTTGCTATTAAGATGCCTAAAGTGTGCCCCCACACTGTGGGAGCCTGAACCGCTGATGCACAACAAGACAAAATGGATCCATATTGGTATGTTGCCTATGCAACAATTTCAGACTCGACCATTTGAGCATCACAGCAGAAATCAAGACTCATCAGACCAGGCAACCTTTTTCCAATCTTCTATTCTTCAACTTCTGTGAATGATAGCCTGGTTCCTGTCCTTAACTGACGCCAGGTGTGGTCTTCTGCTGCTGTATTGCTGTCATTTCCTTCAAGGTTAAATTTGTTGTGTGTTCAGAGATGCTTTTTTTGCATACCTTTATTGTAACAAGGGATTATTTGAGTTCCTGAAGGAAGGATCGTGTCCATTCTCCTCTGACCTCTGGCATTTTCACCCAAAGAATCGCTGCTCACTGGATGTTTTCTATTTTCCGAGCATTTTCTCTAAACCTTAGAGATGTTTGTGTGGGAATATCTCAGCAGATTTCCAAAATACTATAACAACCATGCCACATCCAAAGTCACTTTAAACACCTTACTTGACACTAACTTTGAACTTCTCGATCATGCCTATATGCCTGAAACCACTGAGTTGCTGCCATGTGCTAAGTTATTGGGTGATTAGAGATTTGTATTAACATGCAGTAATAAAGTAATAAAGTTAGTGTATATAATCATCAAGTTTCATGTGTGTTGCATGTTTGAGGACTGTACTAGTGGGTGTCTGCCTGTTTTCCTTGCCAAAATGTAGATCTTAGCGTGAAGCCAGTACTGGAGATGATATGCATACGAGTCGTGCTCAGTAGAGAACTAAAAACATCTATACGTGACTGCAGGATATCCACAGGAAGCGTCAGGAGAAGGATCTGACTGAGCTGCAATCTCTGATCGAGGCCCACTTCATTCAGAGAAAGAAGGACGAGGAGGAGCTCATCGCTCTCGTTAACAGGATTGTAAGTATTCCAGGAAAGCGTGCCAGATCGCTACAGTGATGCACCACCCAGCAAACAATTACACTCTGTTTATGTGTGCGTGTGTGTGGTTGTGTTTGCGTGTGGGCATGGATGATTAGGAGAAGCGTCGTGCTGAGAGAGCTGAGCAACAGAGGATCAGAACCGAGCATGAGAAGGAGAGGCAGAATCGGCTTGCTGTGAGTTTCTAGATGCAGTTGCCTCTGCCTTTTTTCAGAATGTGATAATGTTTGCAATAAACGAAGAGTGTCCTGCCCCCAGGAGCTGACACGCTGTGGTTTTACCCACGTTCCTGAACAGAATTAGAGTACAGTCTGCAAAAGCCTAATTAACAACAAAAAAAAGAACCATCCTGGATCTGTTTGTCCTCTGTTTTCATGTAATGTTACGCACTGGCTTTTTAATGGCTAGTGAAAATTTACGTTTGAATCTGATTCCATAAACTGGGATAAACACAAAGTTCTTTGCACTCGGATATTTGCTTTCCATCTTACAATTTCTTTTTTTACTTTAAACCTGCCCTCAACATTTTTAATAATAACAATGGGTCAAATGATAATATTTGACTCACTGATTCTGTATAAAGCCTCATTTTCAGCCACAGGAGAAAGGCGTTGTTAGCAAGTGTAGAGCCAAATATTTCTCTTAAGAGGAGCCAGAATTGTACAGAAGTATTAGACTAGTGTTAAACTTGCTATGGTCACAAACACATCTCCAAGTGAATGCTTGGAATTTAAGTAGGAAAATTAATTTTAGTGCTCTAACTTATCTTAAAACATGAGACTATGTCGGTGATGGATTCACAGCTTGTTTCTGCTGCCCCCAAGTGGCAGTAAAAATATTATTTATGTATTTTGCACATAGACGTTAATCTTATGTGCAGAATAACCTTGATTGCACAATAGAATAGCCTTGCTCACATAAAAACAATATTCTGAACTTTTTCAGAATGAACGACAATGGACGCTACATTCTTTTTTATGACATCAGAGGATGTCAGAACGTTTGGAGGATGCTATCTTCAGTCCTGTTTTAGTGGCTGGAAAGACAAGTGGACAGATGGTTTCATTTTCTCTTTTCTGTTCTTTAATCCGTGTCACAGGAAGAAAAGGAGAGGAAGGAACAGGAAGAGGCCCGCAGGAAGCAGGACGAGGACGCCAAGAAGAAGAAGGCTCTCACAAACATGACTCAGCAGTACTCTGGCTTCCAGCAGAGGGTGAGTGATCACACACGCGCACACATTTGCATTCAAAGCAATAGGAAATATGATCAGCTTCACAGTTTGCCTGTTTATTATGTAAATGCGGTCTCTTCCTTATTTTACACGTTCATTAAATCTCACATCCAGCAAGACGGAAAGCGGGGAGCGAAGAAGCAGACGGAGAGAGAGAAGAAAAGAAAGATCCTGGCGGAGAGGAAGAAACCTCTCAACGTCGAGCGTCTCAACGAGGACAAACTGAAGTAAGGACACTACTGTTCACAGTTCTGCTCAAACACCTAAATCCACATTTCAAGTCTGCTGCAGGTGATTTGGCGGTGCATAAACTCTCATCTACCTCCCATTACAGTTTGAGCCTTTTGGCCTTTAGGTTTTCACTTTTTATATTCCTCCTGGTTTTGATTAAAAGGGAGAAGGCCAATGAGCTCTATCAGTGGCTGTGGATGCTGGAGGCTGAGAAGTTTGACTTCACCAAGACACTGATGAGACAGAAATATGATGTAAGTATTTCGCCTCGGGATATTACGTGCCGTGCAATGACATAGTGAACACCGGTTTTTGATTTACAAGCTTTTATTTGCACCTGTTAAAATATCAGCTAACAGTAATCAAACTTAATGCAAAGTCATTCTATTTAAATGATCAGCTGGCTCCAGATCTGCATCACTGAGCAGCAGAATTTGTGAGTAACTGTTAAAGACGAGTCTGAGCCTTCTGGTTTTTTGGTCTGTGTGTCAAAGGGTCAAAAACTGAGTCTCAAAGGGCTGAACCAGAGCTGACTGACCGCTGAGTGAGTAAGTTATAAACAGGAGGTGAAAACAGTGGTGTGTGCTGGTGAAGCTAGCGTGTGGCCGTTTAATCCTGGACCTTAAGAGACAGTACAGAGTTGAGACGGTACTTGAGGTCTGACTTACAAGAAGGCAGAGACACAAGACAAAGGAAAAAGGTTTTTTTTTTAATTATTTCCTTTGTTTCTAAGATTTTAATTCCCTTAGCAGAACAAAAATCTAATATTACAAGGTTCACATTAACTCTTTAACCTAAAAAAACAACATCTGATGACCTCTCCTGTATCCTTAATGGCAAGATTTGGCAACTCAGTATATATTTATAAAGACGTGCTTTGACAATCAGTAAAATAGGTTCCGGGTTTTTCCAATAATAGCCCTACTAAGCTGTACAGGGAGAAAGTCATTCGGTTCCAGAAGGAGGCCTGAATTATGACAGTAGTAGGCGTCCAAGGGGAAAAGAGTCCGTGGTTCCCTGATATGGCGATTTCCGTGTTTTTATTTGTGGGCTTTTTATGATTTACAATTCAAAATAATTCTTATTTACATGATACCGGGTCTTTTTGCACACCATCACATTTAACTCACTGTCAAATAAAAGCTGTTTTATGTTCTCTCTTTCTTTAAGGCCGCCTTCTGACTAATTTGCTGGTGGAAAAAATAGGCTAGTCAACTAGTCTAAAAGACAGAAAATCTAAAGAAAACATTTTAAAGCAGACATATTAAATGTACAAAGATCAAAATTGGCCAAACAAATATTTTGTGTACATTTTAGGAGCTACATGAAACCATTAATTGCCTCATTATTGATCTCATTCAGTTTAATTCTATTTACTTTATATTCATAACAGCAGTTGCCTGAAGGTGCTTTGCATTGTAGGGTAAAACTTTACAATATCAGAAAGAAAACCCAAACAGTCAGACAACTTGGTAACTGTGGGAAGGAAAAACACGGTTTTAACAGGAAGAAAACCCCAGCACATAGGGTTTCAAATGTTGCTAAATTGCATAGCACTTCGCACCACGTATGATGATGCAAATACACACAGTGTCAGATTAGTTTGTACAGCTGAGCTAATTTTAGCAGTGCTAGCAACAGTAGCCTTGGTTACTTTCATGCTAGTGTCCAGTAAGAAAGGGAGGTGAAGCTAGCTGTCAGGGATGCCAGTGGTGTCCTAACTCTACAGTGGCCCTGGAAGGCCAAACGGACTGCAACTTAAGAAAACACCAGCAATAAGAAAAACGCTGCAAAAGCACACAAAACACAACGGAAATAGGAAAAACCAAAACAGAAACAGGAAAAACAACAACGGAAACAAGAAAAACGAAAAAAGAAATAGGAAAAAACCCAAGGGAAGTGTTTCTGGGGAGACAATAACCCGACGGACCAGTTGCAGGAACCCAAAACGTGGTAGGCGTGTTTTATCATGATTGATATAATACTGATGATGGATTTTTAGGCTAATGGCAGGCTAACACACTTACCTCTCATTTTTTCTTTCCTCATAAAACCGATAGATCCTCCACTCCATTTAAGTGTCTCCCAGCGCAATTCTTAGCATATTTTGGTTCCTGCAACTGGTCCGTCGGGTTATTGTCTCCCCAGAAACACTTCCCTTGCGCTTTTGGAAATCTGTTTTTTCCTGTTTCTGTTTTCGTTTATCCTATTTCTGTTTTCGTTTTTCCTATTTCCGTTGTGTTTTGTGTGCTTTTGCAGCGTTTTTCTTATTGCTGGTGTTTTCTTAAGTTGCAATCCGTTTGGCCTCTCAGTGCCACTGTACGTAACACCTCTGAGGCTTTACCTGCCGTTGTACATGAATATGTTTAGTACTAGCTAATCTGGTGCTGATTAGCAAGGGCAGCAAGGTTTAAACATCGAGTCAACTAATCACACAAATAAAAGAGGGTGGGGCTGCTGTGTTCATACTCTAGGCTGTGCGACTGAGATGGACGTATTAGGCATATCCGCTTTCAGTGACATCAGAGAGAGCCAAGTTTAGGAAACAATGTCTGAAATATAGCGTTTAAAGTAGTTTGAAGCCTTACAAGGTTTACTTGTGCATACATGGACCTCATTATTTAAAACTTTGGAAATGAATGTCCAACATTATATAATTGACAGAAAATAACAAAGGTATAGTAGGTTCACTTTAAATTTGTAAGACAGAATGTGAATGTCAGATTTGTTTTTGCATTATGTTGGGACTTTTTCATTAGCATTTTTAGCAATGTTGTGTATTTAAAGCAGATGGCAACTGTGGTTTTTCCAAATCTTTTACTTGGAACTGTCAACTGAGTATCAGCCATTGATGCTGTATTTGAGGTTTTATTACATAGGGGAGAGGCAAGTAGCTTCATATTCAGTGTGGTGCAATAAAGTCTTTCTAAAATCTTTGTTTACTTTTGTGTGTCTGGAAGCACTATTTGATTTACACATTCACCAAGTTACACATGAGCAGTAATCCGAATATTAGCTTTCAGTCTGTTTAAAATATGTCTTAAATATAGACTGTTCACAGAACAGGTTGCCATGCGGACATACAATTATGTAGGAGAATATGCTGTTAGCTAGTTACTCCATAGGACCAGAAGATCCTCTTTTTCTGGCTCAGCTGGCGTCTGTTGTTTTTCCTGGACTCAGCATGTCCTCCATGTTTCTTCCTCTACAGATCACTCTGCTCCAGGTTCGTGTTCAGAACAACCAGAGGTAAGTAACATCTATGAACCACCCTTCAGGTGTGGCTCATATTTGCACTAAGGGCATCATTAGAATTTCTTTAAAAATGTTGTTGTGTATCAAGGTGATTTTGCTTTTCCTTTCGATTAAACACTCCCGGAGAAATCTAATCCAGGGATGGGTAATTGATTTAATTCTCCCTTTTTTTCTTTTTTTTTTAAACAAAGACATGACATTAACACTGAGCACATCTGTGTTCAGTTTATTGGTGAAGCCAACAACACAACTCAGTTGCTCATTTGGCCCACTGGGAAAATTGGATTTCTATTATTCAGAAAGAATTTGGTCGTTTATACATTTTTTCTCGGGCATGTTACACTAAAAGCCTCCAAAATTCACATAATGCTGTATAATATTAATTGGGAGCGTGATGTCTTAGCTGGGCTACAAATTATCACAGGTACATGAAAACGTAGCCAAACTTATTTTTGTTTGAAACAGACATGAAAAGGATCACCTCATTAATAGAAATTCTTGTAGTTCTTGTGTATTGCAACCTTTTTTAGGCTTGTATGCAGTTTCCTTTATTTATTTTTATCATCTTTTCTGGTTTATATTCTCTTAAATGCTGTTACAACACTTTTCATCTTTCCCTTTCATCTTTTACATTTTTCAGTTTTTGATTTTAAGTATGTCAAAAATTAGGACAGACAGTGTGAGTTGTGTGTCGAAGCAGCCTGTATTTTTATGACTGTATCAGATCTTATGGGCAAGGGTGCAAAACAGACAGCGGCTGCACATCAAAGGTGAGGAGACAGTCATCGTTTGCCAGCTGTGTTCAGCATAAAATTGTGTCCTTTGTCCCTGTCTAATAGAATGATGCTTTGGCATTTGCCCTTTCCTTTCATCTATCACAGCTCTTTCTTGCTGTCCCTCTTATTTTCATATAGCACATGGGGCCCCACTTAGTATAAACACTAAGGAAACATAACCCAAAACCAATCTATATGCAGACAAGGATATGTACTGTCATTCAAGTACCAGACACTGAGGTACCAACATGGCACGAGATATTTTAAATGTCATTTCCACTCTTTTTATTTGGTTAAAATGAAACCGCAGCTTGTTTTGATTATATTGATTATATTATAATTTATATGACATATATTTATTTTCAACTATTTATCCAAATTGTCAAAGTTGTGGTCATACCTTAAGACAAATATTTTAACCCTACTTGAAAGTTTCTATACTTTAATGTTTATGCTTGTGTACGATCATGTGAAAAAAGCTTTTACAGTCCTGTGAAAAACTGTGCACATCCCATAATTCATTTGCTTGTAGAAACACTTTTGGTAGCAGCCACTTGAAGTCCTTCTTTTTCTGTTTGGCTTTATCAGACTCTCACATTGTTCTGGAGAAACTTTTGCCCACCCACAGTGTGCTTCAGTTCATGGAGGTTTGCAGGCATTCATTTATGCATAGCTCTCTCAAGGTCCTGCCACAGCATTTCACTCAGGTTGAGGTCTGGACTTGGCGTGGGCTATTGCGACATGATTCTTTTATTTTTCAGCCATTCTGTGGTAGATTTGCTGCTGTGTTTGGGATCACTGTCCTGTTCTGTTACTCAGTTTGGGCCAAACTTTAGCTTGCCTCACACAATGGCCTCACATCTGACAGCTGGTATGAGGTGTTTGTGCTATTTTTCTGCTTTTTCGTTTTCTGTGCTGTGCATTATGGGCAAAACTCTTCACTGTTTGTCCAAAGGACATTTTTCCACAGGTTTTGTGGTTTGTTCCGATGCACCTTTGCAAATCTAAGCTGTGCTGTTATGCTCTTTTTTAAAGAGAAGCAGCTTTCTCCTGGAAACCTGTCTAAATTCAAATGCAAATGTTATTTGTCACATACACAGTCATACACAGTACGATATGCAGTGAAATGCTTAGACAACTGCTCGTGACCTAAACTAAAAGACTATGGATAGGAAATAAATATGAAAATTAAAATAAAGGGCAAATTTAACTAGGAAAGAATAAAATAAAATATAAAAATTAAAGTTAAAAATAAAATAACTGTAACAAAATACACAATATAGAAAATATATAAAGAATATATGAAGAAATATAGAACAATAAGAGCAGCTGTGCAAGTAATAAATGGTATTGAAGTAATAAATGGTTATGAATAATGAATAAATAAGTCATGCTACTTGCCTTCTAAAAACTGTAAACACAGTAAAGGTAGTAAGGGCGTAAAGTCCTGTGAAACAGGGGCGGATTAACTGTGGTGGCATGTGCATAAGGTGCCCACCCCACTAAAAAATAAATAGCAAAAATATTGTGAAACATAAAAAGTTAGACTTGTATTTCTAACTGATCCACCTCTTGTTGTGTAGCTTTCTGGATTTTATACTTACAATTGGGCTACATGGTTATTTATTATAAAGGCTATACACTACATAAAATTAAAATTCACATTTCTTTATGTTACTGAAATATGTAGATATTTTGGGCTAAAGATAATAAGAAAGTTACAATGTTTATATGAAATGTGTAACATATGTAAATGTGTTGCATTTGATGTAATTTAACCTTGTTTCCCAGCCACTGTGCCTCGACACATAGGTGTGCCGTGGAAGATTATCTGGTTCCACCTGATAAATACTCTAAGCAACCAGCATGAGTAGCGATCAGAACAATTACATTCTCCTTCGCTATAGGGCAGTACAACTACCTGCTGTAATTAAATGAGTTGCCAACTGCCAGTAAAACAGAAGAAAACAAAGAAGAAAATCCATAATAGTCATGCTGTGAGACAACGCAGCGCGGCGCGTAATAGCAATAGATAAATATTTGAAAAGAAAAAAAAGTAGTCAATCTGGCCTGGGTCCTGGAGAAAATTCCCACCCAGAAAAAGGCCCTAGGATGAGTAGTGGTCAGAAGAAAGCAAAAAAGGTATACAAACCAAACCAATTCCACTATGCCTGGTGCGCGGGGAAAAATTATCAATATGCTTTTTGTGACATTTTTGTTCGGTGGTGTGCTGTGTGATTTGTCTGATGCAAAATATGTGAAATACATGGCTGCAAAAGATTGGAAAACACAGTTTTAACCATATATAGTACATATTACAGAATGTAACGCCTGAATGTGTAAAGAAATGGCTTTGATTTTGCCACCCCGTTTGATTTCCATGCCACCCTAACCAAATTTCTCTAGATCCGCCCCTGCTCTGAAAACGTTTTCACTGGACTATGTTTCCAGCTAGTTTGCATTGTCAGCTAACAATTCCACTTTATCCATACATTAATGTTGCTACATGTACTTTAAATGTGTTTTTTACATCATTAGCTAAAAGGTTAAAATAGCTATTAGCTATCTTTTTAGCTAGCTTTTTGCTTCTTGAAAATAATGTTTCCATGTATGCCAGCAAACTACAGAATTACTCCCTGGGTACTATTAAAAGACATTATGAAATAATCATAACTGCAAGCAGGTGAAGGAAGATAAGCATTAAATAGTTAAACATTGTTTATTTTCTCCAAATCCGGCTTATCGTTATCAAGTCTTTTTTTTTTTTTTTAATCTAGTGTCTATTCACACCTCTATTAAATACTGCTTATTTTTTTGATTTAAGATCAGTAAATTGGTTCATATTTATTCATGATTACAACTTCAGTAGCTTATTTGTTTTAATTTTAATGCTTTCCATAGCAGGAAAAATGCCGTACGGAGGTTCAAATAGGTGTAAACTATGCAGTTTAACTTTAAAAATATTCATCTATGCACACATGCTGAACAGTTGAATATTTTTGTCTGACTTCACAGCGCCAAAGGGAGAGGAAAGGCCAAGGGCAGAGTGAGATAGATGGAAACGTCGACATATGTTCTCAGAGAAGCCATCTCACCAAGAGTGCCCGTGTTGGAATTTGTTCTCAATCTGCACTTCAGTAATCTCAGTTTTGTGCCTTTTAGCCCTTAGCCTTTACAAACAATAAACAGACTTGTGCTTTTATGCCCGTTTGTGTGTTTTCATGTTAAATTATCTCAGAAATGAAGCACTCTTTTCTTTTCACTAATCCTCACTCTTTGCACATATGAATTCAAACCAATTAACTGGCAGTAAAATACCACTTTTTATTTATTTTATTTTTTTTGGGAACCACACACAGAACCACAGTGCACCATGAATTTTCTTTACACATAGGCAGCGATATGTAAACTTAATTAAATGACGTCCTGCTACGGTGCTCTGGAAATTATCCACACATTTAAATAACACAGTAATAAATAAAGACTGATGGCAATACAGTGTCAGGTTAATGGACTTGCTTTACAGTACAGTGCAGTTATAATAGTGCAAAGATTAAGATGGAGGTTTGATGGTTTCGGACATGTGACAGCTACTCTTAAATGAAAAGGCTGCGAATTAGGAGCTGAATATTTTAAATACATTACTTTTCTTTTTTTGAGTATATAACTTGGAGCCAAAATATTAAATGCTTTGCTGAGTTGCCAAAAAATGGATTCAAAAACTTTGATTTCAGCATCGCACAAATGTCCATCTCCATACTGGTTAACCACACTTTGGCGAAAACGAAAAGTACACTGCCTTTGGCGGCACTCTCAGTTCCTCCTGGAGTCGTGGGTGGCGACATTTTACCGTTAGCAAACAGAGGCAGTGCATTTTCACGTGCTCCAGACAACACTACACTTTTTTAGTGAACAACACGAGTTTCGCTCCTTTCAAGTAGCTCTGTACACCGAAGCAGAGATCAGAATATTTTCATGGTAGCAAATCTAAAACTTCAAGTTCAGACATGATGAATGCGTGGAGCATCGGTCCTTTGGGTGTGACGAGGAGGTAACAGCCTGGGATGCGTTTTTTTTCCCCCCCTCTCCTTCACCACAGATGTGTTTCCCTGATCTCTGCTATCACCTGACTGGCCCTCTGTAACGCCTGTGGACAAATGTGAACAAGTATTGAAGCGACTCTACACTGGAGAAAACTTGAGGACTGCTCAAACGTAGGAACCTGTTACCTGTAGCATGTCAGCGGCTTCCTTACGCCGCTGGGCCATGTCTTCAGACTCGGTCAGCAGGTCGTTGAGGAGGCCAGATTTATACAGCTGGCCAACGAGCTCGCTCTGGAGGCTGTCCTTCACATGGTTGACCAGGAAGTGCATCACTGCCTTTGGCACGCTGCCGCAGAGAGAGAAAGAGGAAACAGACCGAACAGATGGTTGAGAACAAGGCGGCAAGATGGCCCGGCGATGGCGTCGTTTCCCCAGACGGAGGTGGCTCGACTTTGAACCGCCAGGTGGCCATGCCTGTCCGAGGACTGAGCTGTTTAAGCAGGAGCTAAATATGATGGATTTAATCTTCCTGAGCTTTAAAGGGCGCTTTCTGCTCCCAAGAGGAAAGGGAGGCATTTTAAAGGACGGTGTTTACAACATGTCCTGTAGTGTCGGTCGCTGTGCTTTCCAAATTTTCACTGTGTCTACTGAAATTAATGTGTAGAAACAGGCCGCCAATACAGATGTCACATAAAAACATTAGCAAAACACTTCTTTCTTAAAATTCTCACAGCTGCTCAAGTTTGGTGTGTGCAAAGGCGCATGATTTACATAATTTTCATCCTCATAAACCATTCAGTGACCCCCACATCGTGCCCTGTGGACGGGGGTGCGTTTACAGCTTGATCCCAGAGATTAGAAAATGTTTCATCACAGGATGACAGTGATCACTCAGAACAACTGATTTGTAGCGACCTTTCCCTCCTAGGGACAAAGCATGCACAAAATCAGCAGAACCACCGGATCACCTCAGTATAGTGGGGGAGCCGCAATTTCCCATCACCAATGTCTGTATATAATTTCATTTTTTTTTTTAAAAGGCTCATTAGTTTTCTAGAAGTGAATGTATAAATTTTACTCAGACAAGACTTTTTTAAAATCCATTTACTGGACTATTCACAAACAGATTACTGCTCATTTGGCGCACTACTGAGCATTTAAAGAGGCAGAGATATTATATGTGAGAGATTTAGTGAAAATAAGGTACAGTGCCTCTGGTTGCTAATAAAAATGATCCAACAAAGCGGCTCGCTGATGCATTTTAAATTCTGATTTCTGGACAACAATGGCGCTCGAGCAGACAAGGGGAATACTAGAAATGAGGCTTCAGCTGCACACACTGTGTTAGCAGATCTATCTTAGTGTTGGTTTTTGGTCTCTTTATGTAGGATTTGATGGCAATAAACAAAAGAGGAGCAGGTGGGAGGGCCTACCTGTCCTGGATGTTCTTGCGGACGATGAGGAAGTAAGACTTGATGAGGCGCTCGATGACCTCACAGTCCCGCTGCTCCCGTGACGACAGCTTCCTGGCAACAGGCACAGGCTGCAAAAGGGAAGAAAGAAGGGAAGGCTAGTGTTTTAATCCCTCAATAGACTGTCATGTTTAATACGAGCCACGCTGGAAGGCCAGTGTTAAGTTACCACATCTAGTAGGTTGACCGCTCCTTTAAGTGGGCTTCCGGGTCCTGAGCCTGGGGCTTCCTCCCCTTTCTTCAGCATGCCCCTCCAGCTTCCTGTGCTGTCCTGCTCCCCCTGAATCCCTGCAGGTGGGGCCTGGGAAAAAAAAAAAAAAAGAATGATAAAAATGCTTTTCCACTATCTAGAACCCTTAATATCATTACTGTATGACATTTGCAGAAAGTGATGGTTAAAGTAGGACTCATATGCACTGCTAACACAAAACAGGCATGTTAAAAAAAAGAGACCGGATTAATCAAATTAAAGTTTATGTCTTTGTGCTGTTAATGCACAAGTTAGAGAGAAAACATGACAAAAGCCATGCCAAATGTTAACTTCAGACATCAATGGGCAACACTATCAAAGCAGGTTAGCATGCTTATTAAGATTAAAAACAAAGCACACCTAAGGGGGATGCTTGGAAAAAGTGAAGCAATTTCAACACTGCTACAATTCAGATGAAGGGGGAACCCAGCCACGTCACAAACTAAGTAAGAGGAAAAGTCAAGGGGTCACCAAAGTCAGCACGCTTTATTCCCTGAGGAACATGAACTGTTAGCATAGCTTACAGAAAAAGAAAAAGAAAAGAAAGGAGGATTAATTAGATGGTACGCAGAGGTAGGATTATTCTCTACCTCAAAATGTCTGGAATCTAAAAACAAAAGACTGCACATACAGTATTAAGAGGTTAGAAAGGGAAAGAGAAAGAAATCTTTTTTTTCTGTTAGACAAACTTTGGGTTCAACAGACTTCAGGGAACACAATAGTTGTCAGTGCAAGTCCACACAGGCTGAGGGAAAGCAAAATAAGAGCACGCCATTAGCAGACAAAGATCAGAGTGCATGCCAGCAGACCATGCCCATCATCCACCCATCATCCATCCATCGCCACCAGCAGCCCCGCAGCCAGCCAGGCACAGAGCCAGCAGGCTGCATGTGTGCCCACCTTGGCACCGTCCATCTCTGCTCCAGACGCAGGGGGCTCGCCAGACACCGCAGTTGGGCCGGCCAGGCCTTTGCCAACAGACTAGCATGAATACGAGAGCAGGAATGGGGGAGAGGAAGGAAAAAGAAAGCACTGAGAAGAAATGTGGAAAGACAGAAGAAAAGGAGGCTGGCTGTCGTAAGCTGAGGCAAGAGGAGAGAAGAGATGTGGGATAAAATTCCTTGATGGAAACTATCCGAAGCATTTGCTTCACGGATCATCATTCAGCAGTGCTCCGAGTGATTAACGCCACACAAGTCTCCTTTATACTGGGACTCTGCAGCCTGCGACCAAATGTTACAACACATGAGCTACGGTTATATTTGACAACACAGTCGCTCTCTTTTACCTTATCCCTGGGAACTGCAGCGGGCATCTCCCTCATCCTGTTTCTCCTTTGCTCCTAGAAACATACAAAAACACACTTCTGAACAGTTGATGGTTTTTGACACTTCTTAGAAAGAAAAAAAAAATATGGAAAATAATTTACTGGCAAGAAGATTAGAGAAAAAAAAAAAAGGGGGTTCGGTCTTAAACCAACCACTTTGCTCATTTCAAACACATTTCATCATGTAGCACTGTTAGTTATTCTGTTTATAATATAAATTATTTAATAGACATGAAGGAAAAACTCAAATGACTAAATTAGAAAAACATATTTACCAAAGTTCACAAAGAGTCATATTGAAAACACAAGTGACCAATATTCAAAACCCTGTGCATGAAATTATTTGGGTAATAAGAGAGTTTTGAACAGAGCTGGATCACCCGATCCTGCTCTATATCACTTGAACTAAAATGCAATTAAATATCACCAACAGGGGTTCAGTGTAATCAGTTGCTTCTTAATTTCCAAATACTGCCTCCATCATTTTGCTTCCATGCACTTTATTTTCTATATCTAACGTGTTTATTGTTTCCACGTGAGTACGAACCTCTATGTTGTTATTCATGACCCCACATGCGTCTGCAAAGTCCGGGTGTTTGGTGTTGATATAGGCCAGCTCGATTGCAACCAAGTTGTGAACCTGCGGCGAGAATAATACAGCTTACAGTGGTTGTACTTGCCGCTAAAACCTGACCGCAGGAGATAAATGCACACGTGCAAAGAGAAGTGAAGGCGCCGGTACCATCTCGTTGGTGATGGGCAGTCTCTTCCTCAGGAGGGAGGTGACCACTTCTACGATGGCCTCGTGCAGCTTAGGGAATCTCTGCAGCTCCTGCGGGGTGAAGCGGCACAAACGTTAATGATTGCACGCGAGCAAAGGCGAGCTGAGTGCACGCCGGGCCTGTTAGCTACCTGTGTGCTGTAGTTGCTGCAGTGCTGGATGATCCTCTGCATCTCCTCGTGGACCAGCTCCACGCAGCGCAGACTGGGTTCCTCCAGGCGTTTCACCTGCTTCTTTACCAGCAGCTCGAAGGAAACCTCTGGCACGAACAGGGAAGGTCGAGGGCCCTAATGCGGGGAGGCAGGGGAGGAAGTGCAGGTCAGCAACGTGTGCTGAACAGATAAGTTGTATGACAGATAAAGTGTTTTTCATCATGTTTTACAACAGACTACTGAACGCAGGTGTGAGAGGACAAGCTGCAGTGATGCTAATGACATCATGCGACAGCTGACGACTCACTGTGGCGTTCCTTATGGCCGTTAGGATATCTATGGTGCTCAGTCCCCCCAGAGGATCCACAGACTCCAGCGTCCTACCGAAGGTCTCGTGGAATATGTAACAAATTCTGGCTCCACCGCACCTGAAAAATAGCAGCGGGGGGATATTAGCTGTGATGTGAACCCCATGGCCTCCGCTCCTGTCAGCTCTTCCCTCGCAGAGGCTGTGCGTGCCTCAACTTACAATTTGGATCATATTAAATGATGAAACCAATGCAGCTGTTTTGCTCATTTCTCCCTGCACCGGATCAACAGCGTCACCATGTGGCAGGTCGGAGGAGTGGCACAGAGACTACTACTCACAGCTCTGCCGTCTCGATGTATTTGGCCGTGCCCTCGATGGTGTTGCAGTACTCTGTGGCAAACTTGGTGATGAGCTGGAGCAAGGTGGCACTTTGGTCCTCCACAGGTTCCCCGTAGCTGCTGAGCAGGGACTGGTACTGTGCTGCCAGGACGTTGATCCGTGTCTTCAGCTCAGGGAGACAGTCTCGAATGTGATGCATCAGTAGCCTGATATTACAACAGCAAAGGGCAGAGCATTACCTTTTCTAGGACGGACAATAGCAACATGCGCTGATGCCTGTAATTAATGCCAGGGCTGCTCCATATCTATGCAAACAGCATCTTCACAGAGGAAGCACTACTTGGGCATTTTCTAGTATATATGACAATGATCACATTCTGCAAACAAACGCAAACTAATCGCTGGTGTTAACAAACAAAAAGCCTCATCTAGCCTAAGTAACACAAAGTAAACAACACTATATACTCTTAAACGCTGCCCTTCAAACCACCATTTTTTTGTCTCTACACATTATGACCAAACATCACCCTGGTTCTGATGCCATTAATTGAGGATTCAAGTCAATGGTCTAACTCCAGAGTACATTAGCAGTGAATCTACTGATGCCGCCTCATATCCAGGGACATACTCAGAGGGAGAGACACGAGGAGGCTCTCACCCTCTATAAATCTGAAAAATCACATTTCAATACACAGGTAAATAAAACAATCTCCACCTGGAATATTAAAGTGATATACACATTAATACATCACTATTATCCAGTAATATAACCTAAATGATTCTGACAAGGCTCTGTCTGCATATTAGTAGTTTAATTTTAGGTCTGCAAGGCATCTTATGTAACACTAAGAACTGTGTGTTTGCCATTTTGGGTCCGACGCTGTGGAACACTCTCCCCCTGGAGCCTGGGAGTCTTCTGGGTGTTTTAAGTATCACCTGAAGCCCTGGAACTTTTGTGCTGGAGGTACAAATTTTTAATTTGCAATGACTTTAACTGTCTTTGCATTTTAATCTGTGTTTCCTTTTGTAATTTGGTCTTTACTTCTTTCTACATTCATGTGAAGTAACATGTGTAATATATAAGCAGCCCACTGCTTCTGTCCGTCTATGTAATAAAGCTACTTTTAAATTACCCCAAGCATTATTTACACTTCTTGTGTTTATTTTTAGAACTAATTTTCATATGGCCACATACAGGACAGCATAAACACAGGCCCGAGAACAGAATCATCTCCAATAGGCCAATATCAGCCATCAGATACATCATCTGGGCTCTACTTCACCAACTAGCTTTTGAATGGTGCTCGATAAAGAAAATGCAACTTTCTATCATCGTCTCAGTGTGATTTAGACATTAAAGTCTAAATCATCAGGGTGCCGTTACTTTTACCTGTTTAGGGTTCTGGCCAGGTACTTGGTTCCATTTCTGTTGGCAAGTGATGGATATTTCTTCTGCAGGAAAGCGTGTTCATCACGAATTGCATCAGCCACAGACTTTTTATTGTTGATGTCCAGCTGGCTCCTAAAAGTTCAAACGTACCAAAAAAAGAAAAAGAAAAAAAAAAAACAGACATTTACGAGAAAAAGTCTGTTTTACGGTACTTTCTCGTATTTTTCCCAGAAGTCTAATGGTGATTGATGTGCACAAAGACTGAAACGTTTTTATTAAATCTTCCCCCTCGATGGCACGACAGTGATAAAGGAACACAAACAATAGATCCTGACATTAGCCTTTACTAGGAGCATTAAAAATTGATGTGGCACTCCTCTCTCGATATCTCCACTGAGCTATTCATCTCTGATATAGAAATCATACTCATTATGAGTAGCGGTTTGTGTGATGTTTGTGAGACCTGTTCACTACTCCGATTATGCCGAGTTTGACAGGGATCACTCTGCCCATCAGTACATCCATAGCGTCGGTACCAGCGTCCATCAGGTCCAGCTTGGTCACCACAGCCAATGTCCTCCTGCCTGATGAATTACAGTCATTCGCAAAGGGCACCATAACCCACTGCCACTAGATTACACCTTTAAAATACTCCTTATTTTACTAGTTTTAGAACATGGCTCCCATTTGGTTTTTCTTACCATCTGGGTCGACTTCCCGGGCCACCTTGAGGGCCTCCGAGGTAGCCATGTCTGTGTTAGCCGCCGTGACAGCCAGGATAATGCAGTTGGGGTTAGAGATGTGCTTCAGGATTAAATCTCTTATCTGAATCTCGATGTCCTTAGGCTGATCACCCACAGGCACCTAAAAGGAGCAATTCCAATTACAAGCAAAGACACAGCACCCGTTGTTTTGAGTCAGACAACAAAGTAGGAACTTTGTCAAATTAACACGTCCAACCAGAGGGGACCAACTAATGAGGCCAGAATCAAAGCCTGGATACCCTGAGGCTTTCATAGCACACGGTTGAAAAACATTAATTCCCAGCCATCTACAAATATGAAATACACAAAAGCATTGACCAGATGGAGAAATGAACATCGCTGACCAGGCTTATAAGGCAAAGCTTTTTTTAAGGCATTTTAGTGCTCTTTAATGAATAAAACTTTTAAGAAAGGAGGTGTTGTACAATTAATTTCCCTTGGGGTGCACGATGATCAAAGACTTGTCTTGGGGAGCTGGAGCAAATGTTACCTTAGTGATTCCTGGCAGATCAACCAGTGTGAGGTTAACGACATGAGGAGAGAAAATCTTCAGATGAATGGGTTCATCGCTGATTCCCTGCAGAGGGACAAGAAAAGAGGAAAGTGGAGAGTGGATTTAATAGCTTAGTAACTTAGAACTGGGGGGGTCACTGACCCTCTAGAGTCACTGACCTAAACCAGAGTTACACTTTCACTTGCCGTTTTCACAGCATTTAGTTTAAAAGTTGTGCTGCAGCTGGATTATTTTAATTCTCTGTTTTTATTACTGTATGTACGGCCTGCTAACTATCTTTGCATCAACGCCAGCAAGACAAAGGAGCTGGAGATTGACTTCAGCAAGAAGCCACCAGTGAACATCCAGGGTTTGGACATTGAAACGGTGGAGGAGTACAAATACCTGGAAGTTCACCTCAATAACAAACTGGACTGGTCCACGAACACAAATGACGACTTAGACCCTACAATAAGGGTCTAAGTCGTCTCCACCTGCTACGGTGGCTGAGATCCTTCGGGTGAACAGGACACTCCTAAGGATGTTTTACGACACTGTGGTAGCGTCTGCTATCTTTTATCCTGTGGTCTGCTGGAGTGATGGAATGGCAGAGAGGGACAGGGGGAAACTCAACAAACTGATCAGGAGGGCCAGCTCTGTCCTGGACTGTCCGCTGGAGTCCATCGAGCAGGTTGGGGAGTAGAGGATCTTGTCTAAGCTATAATCCATCATGGACAACACCTCCCACCCCCTGCATGAGACCGTACGAGCACTGAGCAGCTCGTTCAACAGTAGACTTTTACACCCACAGTGTAGGAAGGAGCGCTACCGCAGGTCATTCTTACCAGCAGCTGTCAGACTCTATAACACAGTTTAACATCCTTTTGGTTATCTTGTACAGTACATTTTATTCATATCTCCGTACAATTTTTTTCTATACATTGTTACCTGTATATACAAACTTCAGTTGCTTATGTATATAGGATCACTTTGTGTCTTCCTTTTATATTTTATATTTCCCGCTGCTATAAGAGCTGTGTAACACCCAAATTTCTCATCTGTGGGATAACAAAGGTTTATTCTATTCTGTTCTATTCTAACTCCTAGTTTGACTGTAGGTGGCCCACAGTTTAAAGTTGGGTTTCTGACAAGCAAAATAAGGAAGAAATATCCTATAATGATTTTACCCTTAATGACCCCACGGGCTTTAGAAAATGTTCAGCCCTCATCTCACCTTATTATTCCCAGATATTCGCTCGGTTTCATTCTCAATTTCTTGCCTGATTTCATCAAAATCTGTGTAGATCTGTAAAGAAAAACCACAACAACAATATCACAACAAGTATGGCTCAGCAGACTGAATTCTTTTTAGTATCACAATAACACATACCTTATTTTTAGTGTGTAGAAATTTGCCCCACTCTTCAGTGTCTCTGCCTGTGAACCAGAATAAAAACATTCTTAAAGCAGGTCGACACAGGTGCTGGCTATTAAAGAAGCTACTCTGCGCGGGAGCCTGAGCGTGATGGCGGTTAATGCGAGGACTGATGCCTGGTGACATTTACTGGTGTGGTGAATAAAAGCAGCTGGAATCACAGGTAGTGCTTTTGAGGAGGAGGAGGGGGTAGAGCTAAGAAGGTGATGTAGGTTACTAAACATTAAGACACCTGTACAATGCACCTCCTTGAAGTACAGTGCTTTTCACACCATGACATCTGCAAGTTGTTTGGAAGACAGTGATAGAGACAGGATTTTAAAACTGGGGCAGGGAATCTTTCACACAGGATACTAAAGATTACAAGGATGTGTTTGCATTCCCCCTTGTGTGCACGTGTGTGTGTGTGTGTGTGCGTTGTATTAAAAAAAAGAAAAAAGTTTAAAGACCAAAAAGGGTTATTACAGTTCATAGTACATACCACCTTCATCATGTTTCCTTGTGTCTCCGGGATCCACGTGGACTAGCTGGAGGATTAGAGGTCTCCTGGTTACAATGCCAGTCCCACGGGGCAGCAAGTCCCTGCCCACCAGGCTCTCCAACACAGAGCTCTTTCCACTACTCTGCAGGCAGAAGTGCATCAAAAAAAAGATATGAGTTAAAGCACCAGAGAGTTGGCTTGTTATAGTTCAGTTTCATTGTTTAAAGGGGACCTATTATGCCCTTTTCCAACCCCATTTTTAAATTCTTGGTAGCTTTACATCATTCACAATTTATCCTTATTTCGCCTATACAGGGCCTTAATGTAGCTCTTCAGTTCATCTACTGTCTGAAACAAGCCGTTTTAGCTCCCCTCTCTTTAAGGCCAATCTCCTGACTGGCTGCACCTTGCAAACAAAAGATTTGAATATCAGGTCAGTGAGGCAGCAGGAAATGGAGCATTTAACCAGGAAATTTGGTTCATCCAGTCTACCTGTACATACAACCTTGTTATTTGGAACTTCCTCTTTTAGCACAAGCTTGTATGTAGTAGCAGCTTATAATCGGTAAGAATGTTTACTTTTAGTTCATTCTTTGATAGCTTAGGTGTCTTTTTTTAGTTATTTGTGATGGGTAAGATTTACGAATTTCAAACACATATGGAACCAGGGGTTTAAAATATTTTTTTAGCAAACTACCTCTACCTCTTCCTCGGGCTATGTCCTAGTTTTAGTCTACAGAAGCTAGATGAGGATGTGGAGATAATTAATGGTGATCAAAATAGACTTAATTGCTCTCGTTAGGTCAGACTCTGCGTATCTGTTTATTAGCTGTCAAAAAGAAGAAGTGACAATTTAGCAGAACTCCCAGACACGGCCTTTGCGTCATTTTGATATGCGAATCGGTATCACGGTGCAGTAAATGCTACTCTCTTAGTCCTCCTACATACATGTATATCATTAAAACAAGGTTATCTGGCTAGCATGACAGCCTGCTGAGCAAAATGCACCCAGTCAGCCTTTTACCTGAGTCCCCACTACTGCAATCTGCGGCAGCTGGATAATATCCGCCCCTACTGTGTTGAACACATCCTGGAGCTTGTTAATGACGGGTATAAGAGCCTCCATGCTCGTGAATGCTGAATTAACCTAATAAACCCGTATTTCTTCCGTGATGGAGCCAAAGTCATTCAATGTCCCTCCGACACCACCATTGCAACAACACCCACCAGACGGCTGAGAGATTTTGTGGGGTGCTGGGAGTTGTAGTTCTCCAATGTTCGAAAACGTATGGCTCAGGATAAGGAAAAGACTACATCATATAGACGCTGAAAATGACGCCACAATTAGTTGTCTTGCGCATGCGTAGACGTTTTGTTGATAAAAAGCTAGCTTCATTCGCCAAGAAACTCGGCTACTTCCCTCCTTCTAACTTTGACCTGCCTGCATGCTTTTGTACCATTGAGTTAGTTTGCTTACCTCTAGTGTCTTCAGTATTTCATCATGCTGCAGTTCCTGGTAAGTTTTATATTTGTATTATTTTCCTTAAAAGTTGACGTCTGTTGCGAAGCTAGCCGAGTTAAAAATGTTAGCATTATGCTAACCGTGCAGCTAGTGCTGCTAGTTTGGATTGAAATTGAAACTGAGTTTCATGATTAGGAATAAATGTCACTGTCAACCACCACAAAGAATCTATCCATCTATCCATCCATCCCATGGTAGTTGTCAGTGCAAGTCAAATCCACTTTATTAATTTATCATCAAGAAGTGTAAACTTTGAAGTTTGGCAGATTTCTGCTCTAGAGCATTCACAATGCCACAATCATCCAGCAAAATCACCCAAGGTCAGACCGTGCAGTGCTTAGAGAAACTGGAATTACTCAGGGGAGGGCTGATGATCTGGGCTTGTTTTGCAGCCACAGTACCTGGAAGCGTGAAGTCATTACAACATCTACAACAGAATTACTCAATGTGATGAAATGGCCCAGTTAAAGTCTAGCCTGATTAAAATGCGGTGATGGTACCTTAAGAGAGCTGTGAACAAACGATTGTCAGCAAACCTCAATAAAGTGAAGCAACGCTGTGACGAGGAGTGGGCTAAAATTCCTCTACAACGATGTGACAGACTGATAAAGTCATACAGAATACAAGTTCTTCAAGTTATTGTTTGGTTCTACGGGCTATTGAATGGGGTGTGCTTAGTTTTTCACAGAACGTTGTGGAATCCTGTGAAATTGTTGTTGTTTTTTTCACACTAGTTTAAAGGGTTTTAATGAACTTTGTTTTTCTTCCAGGCTGGCTTCACCTTGGGAAATGTTGTGGGGATGTATCTCGCTCAGAACTATGAAGTAAGTGTGTTTTGTGACTTGCAAACCATTTTTTTTCCCAATGATTTAGTGAAGATGTCACTTTAACCCATGGGCTCCACTAACCCCGAACCAAAACGTATCTGGTGTGAATAGATGCTGGCTGGAGCCTTTTATTCCTTCAGTGACTGATGTGTGAAACTGCAGTTTTGTAAGGTCGTTGCCTTTATCTATGTATAGAAACGCATCCTGACTGAGCTATTAAAACACAAACACGGTATATGTGCACATTTCAAGTTTTTGTTTCTTGAATGTCTTTTTTGAACAACCAGAACATCTCAGTTGGTTGTGATCTGGACTCTGGTTGGTTTACTTGTGGGATTTGGGTTATTGTCTCTATGCTTTTTTTCTTTTTTCTTTTTTTTTCTGAATTTTCTTGATACAATTTTAAATTTATTGTTCCCTAAAAGCAGCTTTAAACAATGTTGTTCCCTTCAGTGCGTTGGTGTGCAGTGCAAGTTGTGCAATATTTCAAAGATTTCCATCATTACCATTCCTTGTTGTAAATGGTCCGTATTTAATCGTCTGTAACCAGACTTTGAATGTCTTTATTTACATCTACAATCTGTCAAGTTCAATTTCTATAGTACATTTTAAACTACCTCAATTGATCAAAATGACCAAGGTGCTGTAAAAGTTATGACTTGAGATGATCGTAACACATTTTCTGAGTAATCTTTGTTGTTCCAAAGGGTTCAAATATTTTCTTGCAACTGCATGTTCAGTGCCACTTTCTGCAGTCCTGGCAGTATATATATTATCTCCCACCTTTGTAAGATGGCTACAATAGATATTTAAGTTTGAAGCTTACAGCAAAAATCTGAATGTATTTTTTTTTTAATGAAAAATGTACTTTAGATCAGTTAATTTACACTACATTAGTTTTAGTTTGGTGCCTCTAACAAACCACAACCTATACATTTCTCAGACTTTATTACTGGTAGTTGTAATTTGTATCTTTCTCCTCTAGGTGCCCAACATAGCCAAGAAAATTGAAGCTTTTAAGAAAGATGTGGAAGCCAAGAAGAAGCCCCCAGAGTGAGCAAAGTGGGACCGTGTTGCAAGCAAGAATGGACATCCTCTGCAGAGAAACTATTTATTTTGATGTCATGGTTGTACACTTGATAAAAGAGTTGACCATGTTACATGTATATGAAAATATAAGCCGTGCCTGGAACAGTGTTTGTTTCTTCCCTTAGTTTTAGAAGCATACTCTTTATAAACTGTTTTCTAAGGTAAATAGTGCAAAGACTGGATTTAAAGAATATTACAAAAAAACTAATGGGATCATTTTAATTCCAGTTTCATGGTACTGCTGGTTGACCATTTTTGTTATGCACTCAAGCTATTCAATATGTCCACAGAAGATTTTAGAGTTAAAGTTAATAAAGATTTTCCTTCACACACCTCACAATAACTGCCAAAGTTTTTATTGTTGTTGTACAAACATCATTCTGAACCATACAATAAAGTTGAATATAGTGAAGTCTCATGCAGTAAGTTTTACTAGAATTAATTATTTAGTGCCTCAAACACTCCAACTGTCATCTCAAATCCATCCAGTAGGTGTCACCATTGGAAAGCAGTTAAAATTCTTTGGCAAAATTTATGATTCAGTTTTTCTTTCTTTTTGTCCCCTTCTTTTTCTTCTTTGAATTTGGCCACCCAAATCCTCTGAACGCCAGGCAGTCTGCTGCATTGTGAGCAATGTAGTAGATATTCTCCATGGCTGCTGGGCTGAGGATGTCCACCTCGGTTGTGGTGACTTTGGCACTACATGAGGACCTCTTTTTAGGTGTCTTTGGGCTCATAGTCTTCTTGGCTGACTTGGAACTGTGGGATCTTGATTTCCTGGTGGGCTTTGGAGAAAATACGTGGTTTAATCACTCATCTATAAATATATAAATGTCTTTTTTTTTTTACTTTACCATAGCGAATGTCAATCTTGCTTCAGTAAGTGATCAGATTTTCATCTGTAAAACAAGAAATCAGGTTTTTCTCTGCCAAGAAAGATTTAAAGTTTTTAGGACAAAGTGCCTAAAATGATAATAAAATGCAATCATTTCATACCAGCTCTCGCCTTGGCACTTTAAGTGGCACTCGAATGGCTTCAGCGGTGACAGTGATACCCCATCTGTTTACATCCTGTTGTCGTAGAAACAGACCGGACTTGCTCATGTATGAAGGGGGTTGGCCTTCCACCGGAGCTTAAATTCTTTTGCTGTATCTGAGACACAGCTGGGCATCAAACAGCACACACCGCTTACATTAAGTAAGGAAGAAAAACAGCGAACAACAGGTTATCATCACAATAATTTAATGGTAGTGCAGCGTTCAGTGGAATTCATGTTAAGACAGTAGCTTTCCAGTTTCTTTGGCAGCTCTCACCAAATCATCCTGGTGTAAAAAGCCCTTGCATTCACATTGTGAAATTGTACTTTAACATTTAAATACATTCAGTAAATGTACACCAACTGTATACCATGCAGAAGCTCTTGGATCTTTTAGTCATGCATTACAAATAAACTCATAGTACAAAATCCAATATGGACCCAAGAAACTTCTCAGTTGTGAGCAAGACACAACCCAAAATAAAAAAACCACTGTATACAAACTCTGTGACATCACTTAACAACCAATCATGTGCCAATTTATGTGCACATACCATGCAGCGGTAGTATGACATCAAAAACTGAACGAAGCATTAGCTGCTTTAGTCCAGCAGGAATAAGAGTGGAATCTTAATAATCACCTGCATAGAGACATTTTTTTCTTTAAAGGCAGAATTTGCTTTAAAAACCTTGAGTGCAACAGCAACTCAGTGGAAAACAACACTTTTAAGTGTAAGGTGGCAACACTGTGGTGTACTGAAACTGAGCTCATGTCAAATATTTGCCCAGCTAATCTTCCTCTGACTATCCACCATCAATGCAGTAATATTGACTTTTTAAAGAATTTTTAATAAAGACTTTGTGGGAGTGATGCAGGAGCACAAAAACATTATCACTGGGGCTCCATGCATCTGAGCCCTTTAAATAAAGAAATAATAATAAAGGAAGCTTTGAGTAGCAGAGCTACTCTGTAGAGATGAGGTGGACGATCATTTGTATGATGCTGGAGCCACGGGGGCAGCTGCACAGGTCCATGCTCGGGTTTTTGATTTTATCCTCCAGAAGCAGGTCCAGCTCCCAGCGCAGCTCCTTCAAAAGCTCAGCCACCTGGAAATAGTCACACAAGCACATGTAGTAACATATATGTTAACTTATATGTTGTAGTTGTTCAGTTGTCGTGCTTGCACTCTCCATAAAACTTGTTAAACCTTTAAAGCATATAAACTCTACACAGCTTGTACGCCCGTTGCAATACTAAGCTCTGAGCCAGCTATAACTTTTTGATCATGTGATCAAAAAAACCCCAAAAAATCAGATTCTCTGACCTCGTGTGAAGCAGCAGCAAATCGGATCCACCCATCATCCAGGGAGATGACAAACTCCCTTCTGTGCAGCTCCACGTTGACCTGTCCGCATCCAAATAGCACCAGCGGGTAAACAGACACCATGCTGCAGTCCCTGATGAAAACGCGACTCGTTTTCACCTTCTCATGGTAAACCAGGTACGGGCTGTTGTAGTGGCGAACCTGGTGCATAAAGAACAGAAAGGTGAGGCTTATTTCTCCTACAAGTTGTTTAGTTTGGAGCGTATCTTTTTTCCCCCCCCTAACCTCACCGTGTAGTTGACGGATGATGGATGCACGTGGACGTAACCGTCGTTCTTGGTCACAAAGCGGAGCTCGTTGGCTTTGGGTTGCATCTTCATCACTCCCGTGCCCGTCTTCTTATAAGTCCCTTGAGGAGCTCGTACCTGCAGGACATCAAGTGTGAATGTTTCATACTTCTGTTTGGCTTTCAGTTCTTTACTTGTATGACAAAGAGGGGGACTATGCCCACCTGGACCACGTTAGGATAGAGGGCAGCACACAGCATGGCGGACATCAGCCGGATGTTACTGGAATTTAGGTTTGCCTGAGATGCAAAATATTAGAATTTTTGAATTATTTTCTCCAAGATGAACCCTTGAATCACTGATTCAGTGATTTGTATGTGTCACCTCAGGGCCAGTAGCTTCCATGACCCCGTCTGTACCCTTGTAAGACATTTGCTCAATAATCCTGGCCTTCAGTCCCTCCTTGATGAAGCCAATGTCAGACAACAGCTCAGCAAACTGCCTCTTCAGACTGGCGATCTCCTGCCAAAGGTCACAATTCACCATTTCAAATATTATTCATATAAAACACACTGCTCGGGCCATTTGAAATTAAATCTGAATACATTGGAAGAACTTCATAAGCTTTAGCACTGCTTTAGATTTATATTCAAACAGAGAAGATCAGAATTATACTGTAGAGCAAGGGAGTTTATTGATTCTGGACAAGTGATTAAGTGCTTCTGGACACCACTGCCTCACCTGTAAACCCCGCCATGACAGGAAGTTCTCCCTGCAGTAGAGGAAGCTGGCACGGTGGCCATTCCTTGCTGCGGAGCACCATCCCTGCATAAAAAAAAGAAAGAAAGAAAGTTTTTATATTATCTGTATGTATTTCAACATCTTTGAATTATCTTATCACAATAAGCGAATGCAGTAGGGACCTTGTATGCCTGCAACAAAGCTAGATGGTCACTTTTAGCCACTGCAAACTCCACTTTCTTTTTATTTGCTTCCTCTCGCTTATCCCATGGAGACACCTGGAAGCAGACCAGATTTTCATTTCCATAGAATTAGACACTTGCATTACAAATATACATAATAAACAAATAAATGTCATTATGTAACCTCCTATCTGTTAAAAACCAACAGAAAAGATGAAGCAGCTCATTACTGCGCTGTGTACTATACTTGTAATTGTTAATGAGCCTAAAATCAGGAGCATGCTGCAGATGAACTGCACATAGCGTCTCTCAACAGAAACTAGCGCCTTCTTACAAATGGGGATTTGAAGGCCAGACTTGCAGCAATGGTGAGTGCTGGGTCAAGGCAGCGGAAGATGGCGCCGAACAGCATGAGCTTTCCGATGCGCACGTCGACAGGCAGGCAGGCCAGGTGGTAGCCCAGCGGGGTCAGCTTCTCATCTGTGGTCAGAGCTCCCAGGTCCTGAAGGCGCTGCTTGGCAGCGTCCAAGCTTCCCACTGACGGGGGCTCGATGAGCCGAGAGAAGACTGACTCCAGCGGCTGCTCCGCGAACACATCCAGGATCTTGATTCTGTTACAGAAAGGTCAGTGTTGTGAACAACCGTTTTGGAATTTCTCCAAATCAAATGCCATTTGCATTTTATAGTCAGAGTTATGTGGGAAAAACAGACGGCTCTACCGGAGACAGAGCTGCTCTAGTGGCACTCTCTGGATCTCAGGCAGCTGCTGCTCAGCCAGCTGGTGTTTAAAGCAGTGGCTGGTGAAGAGGTGGAAGCAGACCCCCGAGGCCACACGACCTGCTCGACCCCTTCTCTGCAGCGCGTTAGCTTGAGAAATCCACGTGTCCTCCAGGCTCTCCATGCTTTTAGATGAATCGTACCTGAAAGAAAAAAATATATATATATCAAGGGAGACTTAGAGATTCGTGGATTTGAGCATCACAAAACCATTTTAATATGATTGCATGGGCCTTTTAAAAAAACAAGAAGTATAATTCACACAGTGTTGGGGAGTAATGGAATACATGTACCGCCGTTGTCTAAGGAGCTTGGAAAGAAAAGCGTCTGGACTTCTTTGAGTTGCTTGAAGACGTTTCACCTCTCATCCGAGAAGCTTCTTCAGTTCTAAGGGTCAAGGGTGGAGAGTCCCAGATTTAAAACCCAGTGGGAGTTTCCCCCCAAAGAGGGACAAGGGACCCCCGATGATCCTCTACCTAATCACATGAGCTTTTCTTTCCAAGCTCCTTAGACTACGATGACCTGGATGACTGAGAACCGTCACAGACATGTACTGCCGATACGTATTTAAAATACAAAATATGAGTAACTGTATTGCGTTACAGTTACCGTTTAAAAAGGTGGTATTGAGAATACAGTTACTTTGTTGAAATAAATGGATTACACGGTGGTTTTTTCCTGTTTCATATGTTAGGCTATGCCCTCTCTATTTTTGGTAATTCCACACCGGTGGGAATGCAAACAAAACACGCATTAAGATGACGTGAAGAAATATTTTTAAAAATTCTCTAACATGAATGCAATAGGCAGAGTGTTACAGGCATCGCCCTAAACAATGTAGCATCATGGGCAGTGTAGTCTGTGCTGCAGGGAAAATGGACTGCCAATAAATCACATTCATGTAGTTGTAAAAAAAGCATAATAATATATTAAGTAATCCAAAGTATTCAGAAGACGTTACTCTCATTGAGTAACATAACGGAATACGTTACAAAATACATTTTGGGGCATGTATTCTGTAATCTGTAGTGGAATACATTTTAAAAGTAACCTTCCCAACACTGAATTCACAACCCGAAACTGTCAAAAATGAGAATTTAGGGCTAGCATAATAGAAGGTTACCTTTTCTCCTTCATTTTTCCAGAGTCGATGACATAAACCACGTCGTCGATGGTTACTGAGGTCTCAGCAATGTTAGTGGAGATGATGATCTTTGTGACACCATCTGGAGGCCGGCTAAAAACTGCTTGCTGCTCCTCATTGGACAATGTTGAGTGAAGGGGGTACACCACGCACCTGATGGGCATGACCAAAAGTTACAGTTAATGTGTTTCAGTCAAAAGTTTTCACACAAACAAACAAAAAAAACAGGTTCAGCTTTTAGCTTCATTTTATACACATACAATTGCAAACCAAGTGTTGCCATAAAACACACACAGACCTGGACGCGCCCCTGTTGTTGAACATTCTATTGGACTGAAGCTGCTCATAGAGCATCTTGATCTCAGCGAGGCCTGGCAAAAACACCAGCACTGCACCTGCAGACACAAAGCAACATAACCAGTGTTCAGCTTCACAGCTGTCCCCAATCCAGATCAGTACATCAGAGACTTACTGGCCACCTGTATATGGCAATGTTAACTGGACTGGCTCTTAGATAGAACAGAAAAGCGTTATATGAACACTCAAAGCGCTTTACACAACTTGTTCATTCAAACAAGTACTTTTTCTAAGCATATCTAACATTCACACATGCATTCATCGGAGAGCAACATAGAGTTAGTCTTGCCCAAGGATATTCGGCATGCAGACTGGAGCAGGACCGCCAACCTTCCAGTTGGCATGTGACCTGCTCTACCACCTGAGATTGCTTTGCTGTCAGTGTTGTTTTCTTACCAGGTGGGTAGTTGTGCTTTCCTTCTACTATCCACTCCAGCAGGCTTTCCACCAGGTCCATATTGATCTTGTCCAGGTCCATTGTGGCGATGGTTTTGAGCACAGACTTCTTAGTATCTGCATCAGCAACGCAAAATTTTAGATGTATGCCCTGATTGGCACTGGCAGCTTATCTGATTAAAACCTAAATATATTTTCATTTCACCTTTGTATCTGATGGTGAGATCCTGCAGGCTGAGCTGTTGGTCTGGGACCGAGTCTTTGACAAAGTCTTTATTACAGAAAGACATGAAGTTCCAGACATCTTCACTCAAATCATCTACCACGCAACTCAGGTCCCCTCTGCTTCGGGCACCCGTGGTTGACTGATTCTGTTTTCCTGAGCGCATGTAAGGGCTACCATCCTCAATGACATAGCTGGAAAAAAACAGCACAATACACAAACCGTTGTGTTACTAAGCAAATTGTAAAGACAGTCTACGGTTTACTTAAATGTTTTAAAATGTATTTACCGAGTATTAGCAATGGCATCTTCAAGAAAAAACTGGTCAACAGGAAAGGTGCGCCCTGGAGCAACACACATTATTAGAATGAAGAGGGGAATGCATAGAATGAGGTGTAAGAATAGAATTAGTCAGTTCTGCTAATAGATTACCTGGTATGTGGATAGTAGGACAGTTATAGAAATAGTCAGAAAAGAGGTTTGCATTAAGAGTGGCACTCATGAGGATAATCTTCAAGTCAGGCCTTTGCACCATCAAGTCTTTGAGCACCAGAAGCAGAAAGTCACTGAAAATAACAAATTAAGAGACAAGAAACAAAGAAGCAGCTTAAAATTTTTTTTCCAGGTTCATTTTTCCACATGTTACAATACAAGTGCCATTAAGCTGAAGTATATCTGTCTCACCTCTCCTCTGTTCGCTCGTGCACCTCATCCACGATGACATGCGTGACTCCTCTGAGGTCTGCCTCACCCTCCAGTCTCCTCAGCAACACCCCTGTGGTGCAGTATAGCAGCCTGGTGACTGAAGTCTGATAAAAGGAGCAGTCAGTGTTGGAAGAGTATATAGTATTAATATTAAAAAAAACAGACAACCAGAATGCTGTATTGTAGATGTTTTTATATCTGTATCTGTACCCTGACACTCTCCAGGCGGATCTGGTAGCCCACAGAGTTCCCCAGACACTCTGCGCGCTCCTGTGCCACTCTCTGAGCCACTGACATGGCAGAAATGCGGCGAGGCTGCGTGCAGATGATGTTGGCCACTTGCTCCGCGGGGCCACTCAAAGAGGCATCTAGAATGAACTGAGGAACCTGAGTGGTCTTACCACACCTGCAGAAAAGTCACATTAATTCAAAAAAAGCACATGAAACACAGTCATGTTTAGGAACAGGCAATAATCACAGGCATGTTTAGCATCTTTTTTGTGAAGGTGAATTTTTATACTTCTTTCAAACTCGAGTCCTCTTTTATATTAAGCTTACACTGGACTTTGGTATAGGCCATCTGTTCAGCCACAGCAGGTTTCTGTCTAAGTTTATATATGATTTTTATATTATATGATGATCAAATTGAACCATTTATCCTTAAACATTTTCATACAAAACCCAGACTACAAAAGAATGAGAGTTTAGAACAATGTGAAACCTGAGCTTTTGGTTCATTGAGATTACCTATGTACATACACTGATCTCTCCAAAAGTTGATTCTGTTCATCTGGACGTAGCGTTTTGTGGGAGAAACGTTTCGTCACTCATCCAAGTGACTTCTTCAGTCTCAGCTGACTGCAGGTTTTCCCAAATCTTATAAACAGTAAATTTGCATAATAACTGAAACCAGCCCACTGAAGGAACAATGGGCTGGGAGGTCAGTTCCTTAATCATAATTATGCAAATTCTCATGACCATTTCTCATGACCAAATTCTCAACAACCACTGACCAAAACCCACTGATCAATGGCCATGAGTACCATTCACAGAGAGTTGGGGAATGGCTGCAATCACAGCATTGTAAGATGGCGAAAGATGTACCCTTAGGCCCCCTCCTTGATTCAGAGATGGTTTTTCCCTTTTCACGTAAATGGCCTCCTTGACTCCGCGCTCAAACCAGCGTTCCTCTCTGTCCTAAGGGTACATCTTTCGAGACGATACACTGATCTCATTATTTAAAACTTCAAATAATTATAACAATATAACAGCAGATATGACAAAAAGTAAGGAAAGCCATAGTAGATCTCATTTATAAACTTTCAATTTTAATATATCTGATGTAAATGTTTTTAATTCCATACAAGCTAAAACCCTTCATATATCCATACATCACATTTGACTTGCTGTTGGTTGGGGAAAAAAGGCTGAAAGGGTGGATCAGTATCATTAAAATATATTTTTTCTTTAATTTATAAGTCACGGTAAAACTCTGGGACCTACCCAGTCATGCCACTGATCACCAGCACCTGACACTGGTCCAGTGCATCTAGGATGTGCTCTTTCTCTTGCCAAGCTGGAAGATTCTTCCTCTGTTCAAGCATAGAACTGTAGCGTCTGGAGGACTGGTTTGACAGAGGAACCAAAGGAAATCGGAAACAGATTACAAAGGATGCATCATACTGAGAAGGATTTGGAGGAAGAAAAACCAAAAAAAATACACATTTTTTTCCTAAGACCCACCTGTTTCCTACTGAACTCTTTGCACAGCTTGCTGTTTTCTAGCAGCAGATTGCCCATCGTATTGTGCTTTTTCACCATGTTCCTCTTTAGCTTGACGTAACTGTCGTTCTTAACTGGAACTGCGTGGTCCCTCTCATCCTCGTCTTTCTCATCCAGCTCTTCTGCATCCACTGTCCGTTTTACTAAAAAGTGAACAGAATTAAATACAGCTCTCTATTGTATAAAGAAACGACAGAAAATATATAGCAAAAATGTACATTTCTATCCGACTTACTATCTGTGGTCCTTGGGTTGCTAGATGCAGCAGCACTCCCGCTGTTTGCATGGTTACTACTGCTGGTGATGGCATTCATGCTCTCCTCAGAAGCTTTGCTCCTTACAGTTTTACTCTTTGCTATGGCAAGAAAGGGTGGAGGAACAGCAATCACAGGAGGTGGGGTGCTGTATTTGTGATGCCGTATGGACAATAGTTCTTTCATGGTATTTTCATCCTCACACAAGGTTATCAGGGTGTAAACAACAGGCTGGTTGCTTTCTGCTGCAGACAATGCCTCTCCAAATAATCTCTCAGTCACATGGAGCCTCCCCGCAGCGCAGAGAGACTCATCATTGGTACTGAAGGCAACTATTGGTGCTTGAAAAGGGTAACGGTTCCCTTTGGGGAAACGAACTTCCAGCTCATACTCAGGAGGAGAATAGCTGCTGACACCAGGCTGGCCTGGGCCTTTCAGGTCCGAGGAACCAGCCTCAGACATGTCTTTTTTGGGAAATTCATGTTTGAACCAACATTTGTTTCCATAGCGGCAGCCTTGACCTTTCATGTAGAATTTGCAGATGTCACCGATGTTTGGAGCTCCTCCACCTACCACTCCTCCTTTCTTAACAGGAGATCGTGAGAGGAACGACAGGTCCAGGGTTACTGTCCATACAGCATTGGCAATGCGCTCACTGAAGCGATCGCCATAAATAGCAGCTAGAGCCAAGGCCTCCTCCTGCTTTTGGTTTACACACTCATCCAAAGGCACCTCATCAAGTCCATCAGGGGAAACTGCTTTCTGACCATAGCGCTCAGTGAAAATCTGTTGGAGGAGCTGTTCCAAAGTTGCCCCAAACTCTCCTCCACCAGCTTCCAGCGCCTGTTTGCTGCGCTCCCTGTCAAAACCATATCTACACAGAGGAAATTATGAGAAAGCAATGGGTTAGAAGCTAATTATATTTACACACAAAAGCACCGATTCAGAACATCTGATTTAGCTCATAGGTAAGGTTCTGGAAATAAAACAAAATTTGAAATCACCTGCAGAGCTTTCCTATGGCAAATAAGGAGATAACAGGTTCAGGGCTGGGCTGTTCATCCTCATATTCTAGGTCAAATGTTGGGCTCTCTGCTTTCTGCACAGGCTCATCATTTGTGGCCCAAAACTGGCCTTCCTCACGGTAATCCAATTCATCAAATTCCTCTTCTTCCTCCTCATCTAGCCCGGAATAATCTGAACCAGAATCACTAAGGAACAAACAGAGGGTTGCATGAGTTTATTTCCTAGCTTTCTAATTGTTCTTTTCAAACAAGTGCGTATGTACTTACTCATACAGTTCATCAGAGTCCTGTGTCTGTAAAATCCTCAGCAACTCCTTGAGTTGTTCCTGGTTCGCATTAGTCATGAAGATCTTCTGCAACGGCATACTGCTCACCTCTGGTCTGATGCATTCACTGACCTTTGAGTGCATCCTGGTACTCGTCAAGGACCTTGGCAGAGCCTTGCTACTACTTTTCCCATTTCGGTCTCGATCTCTAGCTTTCTTTCCTCCTCGACCACCATCCCTGCCACCAGCATGGGCGCCACCACCTCGTCCTTTATTTGATCTGCAGACAGAATGAGACACGAGGCAAAATGATAGGAAATCAACTGAAGCCGAGCACACAAACCTAAATATTTCTTCAATATAAATTAACACCTGCTGAAATAAGAGGGTCCAAAATCAAGGTTGAAATCATCCCCGTCATCCCAGAGCCTGGTTCCTCCTTTCCGATTTCCTCCTCCTCCTCCTCCTCCTCCTCCTCGTTTATTAAATCTTCCACCTCCTCTGTTGGGCTTCCCACCTCTTCTCCTTGCGTTCATTTCTCTACCAAAGGACACACGAACAGTTTCATTACATAAACACCAGTACAAATACAAAATTGACTATTAAAAAAGAAAAAAAAAATCACTGGTGTCAGAATATACTTACACTCAATCAGTGTCCAATCATAGCAGAAAACAATCTGCGAAAAGAGACATTAAAAAGCATGGTCTGAATAAATTTTTCCAACCCTGGGAGTATACCCCCCAAAAAAATCCTAGATGAGGGAGAGAGAGCTACTGGTTGCGGACCCGGGAAGAGCAGGCAGCTACTACTGTCCACCCTCTGCAGAGCACAGTCACACATCGCTGTGGGCTGGCTGGCACTTCAATTCAAGTGTGAGCAATGAGATGGTGGCTGACACACAGCGCTGGTGGCTACAATTATGCAATCAAACTTAACGTGCAGACTAACAACCCAGTCAGGGCGATGACCGATTAACCCCACGGCTAGGTGGCTGGCTACAGGCAAAGTACAAAAGACCAGAACATATAAGGAATAATGTGGAAGTAAGGTGCTGCACGTTAATCATCTTCAAGTATAAGGAGTCGGCTAGCTAACGAGCTAACAGCTAGCAAGCACACTCATCACTTTTAATGTAACAGTAAGCTAACTGAAAAAAGCCTCCCGGCAAGGCAAGTCAGTGAATCTAAATGCTTTAAAAATGTCAAAAAGTATAGAGCCGTGTTATAATCGGCAAAGTGCGCAATAAACTGAAAAACGAAACTTTAATAACAATTGCGAACAAACCTGAACCAGCTGCTCTGACCACCGGTAGCCTGCATCTCTTCTATTGGCCCAAACTCTTGAGTTCAACGTTTCTTTTCCGGTTTACGTTCGCGCTTAGAAAAAAAAACACAATAAAAAAGTTAGCAAACAGTATCTCTCGGTCACTCGACAAGGTTAAAGTCGAAGGTTTTAGCGGCGGTAAGCCTTTCTTCTTGTTATTTAAAAACGGTAGTTTAATAAAACGCATTTAGAGCGTCGCACAAGCCATTAAAGATATTACTTTGCACCAATTCCGTAACTATGGTAACAAGGGCTAGCCTCTAGCTGCCTTTAAAACACAGGACCCCCGGCTTACTGGCAGCATTAGCTCCATTTAAGGGCAAGTAAAAGTGAACAGTTACAGTGCGGTTGTAACTTGTGTCATAGTCACAACTTTCTAATCAGCTGTCTGACTTTTCACATTGAAGAAGTTGGCCAGAACACAGCATTTGCTCTCGGCTCTGACAACCATCTGCCAGCTGGGGGAAGCTGTCACGGATGTCTGGTAGAGTGTGATTGTGAAGATATGAGTTCTAACACCTAGTCTGCGCACACTCACACACACACACAAACCCTGTTCTGATTCGGTGTGATTTTCATTTTCAGATAAGAAAGGAAGCGATTCTTTGAACACTGATGGTAAATATCCTCTTCGCGCCACAGTTTGCGCATTCTTGTGACAGCGTGAATAAATGTGTATTTGTTTACAGGGGGTGGACCTCTAAAAGTCTCCTACATTTTTCCAAACGGAGACAGATATGGTAAGTTATAGCTGGCTGATGATCCAGCTTTACACGTGAAACATTTCCACGTGTAAAAATCTTGGGAAGAAGAGACCTAATTCTTGGTTAAAGCAATACACAATGCCTCAATGTGACTGCTCAGATGAAATTTAAGTCTATGCTAATTATGTATGAACCTCTGTTCTCCACAGAGGGAGAGTGCAGCAGGTCTGCATATGGAGCACTGGTGAGGAGCGGTTCTGGTAAACACACCTCAGCAAGTGGCATCACATACACTGGAGAGTGGCATGAGGACAAAGTATGCAATTACTGCCTCAAACATCAGTTATTTTTACCATGTGGTTAGACAAACATAATCTCCCTCTCTGTCGCTCTCCCAGATGCGTGGTAGAGGGACCGTGCAGTATCCCTCTGGAGCACAATATGAAGGAGAATTCAAAGACAACATGTACAACGGCACAGGAACATACACCTTCCCAGATGGTTCTATGTGTAAAGGTCACTTTCATAATAACAGGTAAAAAAAATGCCTTTTTAAAAATATTTTCTGAAAAAAAAAATCTGATAAATATTAAAGACAACTATTATATGAGAGTTTTTATTTTAAAAGACACAAACATGTCATTTGGGAGTTTGCACAGGAGATGCAATTGACCAAACAAGAAATCCCAGACAAACCTAGTACAGTTCTTAAAGCACCTGACGATCAGATGAGATTTAAAGTTACATTGCTTAGTGTGGGGAAGATTCAAATGCAGGATGTGGGAACAAACAAAAAATCCTAAATTCAAACTGGATTCTTCTAATCTTATGATTATATAGTCCAACCTGGGAAGCAAAATATAGCCAACGCAAAGATATGACAATGACAAGGTTGAAAAACAGGTCAGTATATATGCACAAGTAATCGACTCAGGATGAGAAACAGGTGGGGAACCAAGCACAGGTGAAAGTAATCAAGCAAAGACAACCACAACCAGAGAAGCAGGCGCGAATGAAAGAGTGAAACCTGACATATTAGGAAACCAACTATCAAAGTAAAGCAGGAAATAGCTAAAGGACAAATTATAAACACTGAAATAATAAGACTTAACACTAAAACATGATAATAAGTAGAAGGTGCTACTACATAGACAAAACAGTGGGGAAGTCAGGGAAACACTAGGAAGACTTGAATAACAGTAAAATCAAAGCAGGAACCAAAAGAGGAATTTAAATGATCTCAGCTGGTGATATAAAAAAAAGCATAAATCAACCTGCTCTAAATCAATTTTACCTGAAGCTTCTTGAACACAGAGTAGAACATTGATTAGTTACATCTTTATTTGCATATTTCCACATTCTTTATATTCTGTTCATGTGACAATTTCTGTGATTGGAGTGGTTTCTGCTCAATTAATCTTTTTTTAGTCTTAAGAATAGTCAAGCATGAGGCAGAAAGTACCTGTTTTTTTCCCAGCTGGAGTTCTTAGGTTTGATCAAGCCAGCTAACACAAAGGAAACCTGGCTATGTTAAACTTCCTTCATAGGTCAAACCCCAGGACCCCGACATAATAAATTGAAAGAATATATGGTAACAACAACTGTTTGGATGAACTGTATCCAGACCAGACTCAAATTTATGATCTTTCCTTATTTTTATTTATTGTACGCGTTTAGCTACAATATTGTGTAACCCACTAGTTGTTGTTTCTTCGGTTCTTTGGCTTTGTTTGGTTCAAGCAGATGAAATTGAAGATTTTAGCTGTTTTTACTGGTGTGTTCCAGGTTGGAGGGAGATGGGGCTTTCATTAGCGCACAGGGACTGTTCTGGACGGGGGAGTTCCACGGCAAAGCAGCGCTTGGACTCAAATTGGAACACAATCTTTAGGCAAAACAAATACCACACTTTGGCACATATATCTATAACATTAAAATGTAACTGCATCAGACAACAAACTTCTTCTGTATTTTGTTTTTCATACAAGATCTTGTGCACATTTTCTTTCACTTCATATATTAGTGGGTGACAGTTGCTGGCATAAGTGAGTCAAGTATCTACAATACTGTGTCTTGACTCTTTGTGAGAGTGAAGGACAAGTGCAGGGTAATTTTATTATCACTGCACCACCATCCAATCCCAGAGGGGCTCATGTCCCCATCCATAACAGCTGTACCCAAACTGCTGGAACATTGGCCTGGGGAAGAGTGAGTATGTGGTCATTTTGACCTTCAGTGTGTGTACACACAGCTTTGTGTGTGAACTGGCTTTCTGCCCCACGTAACCCCTCCGACAAATTAAAATGAGTCGACAAACAAAAAAGTGTTCAACACTGTTTAATAAGCAACTCTGCAACTCTGATATCGTAATCTGTCACTCTATCGTATAATGCCTCTATGGATGTGTAATTGCACATACCCCTGAACATCTTCAGTGTCGAGTATTTACTGGATCTAGAATATGCAGATATGGAAGTGTGAGTAACAAAAAACACATATATACGGTAATAACGTCCATACAATACTAAACACTTCTGGTGAAATATTACCCTAGATACAATAAACGGCAATTTTCACTGATTGTACAGTTTTCAGGTAGAAAAAAAAACAACATTTTTTTTTTGCATTCCAAGTCTTCAGTATGGACTTGAATGCAGATAGCAGAAACAAGAGAATAAAAACAGGAAATGGCACTCAAATTTGGCACAAGATACAAAAAGAAATAAACATTACATCTGAACTTTAAGTGCGACCAACACTCACAATGAGCTACTGTGTTTTTGTGACGATGCACAGCTTATGCAGTAAATGTTTAGAGGTTCAGGTGTATCAGAATGTATATTCCTCTTTACAGGTAGTGAGCCAGAGAATGGCAAGGAAGCTTTTAAAACTGTTGTCATATATATATATATATATATATATATATATCTCATCTCCATAAACCTGAGAATCTATAAAGTATACAATATTATTGTTAAAGATATCGCCTTCCTGAAGAAGAAAACAAAAAGAGAATCCTGTGTGGTGCACAACACTGTACAAGTGACTGTACGAGAAACAAAAAAAAACTTTTCTTACTGGACTGGAAAGACATTAACACGTGAACACAGAACAGAACCATGGTCATGCACATTTCAACAAGACTGAGTATCAAAATTATTTCTATACAGAGATAATACGTAACAGTTTGTAACCCCTCAAAGCAAGTAGATAACAATCTGAAACAATCAACAATTGTACAAAAACAAAAGTACATGCTTTTTGTCCTTTGTGCTTGTTTGTGTGCTTAAGTAAAGACATATCCAGGAATCAAGGTGCTCACCTCTGAAGCATCGTTTAGGCAGTCGCATCTACAGGAAGTTGCACTAAACTGGAAAAGCAGCACCATTATTGTGACAACCGCCACCACCAGTGTGGTTCACATGTTGTGCTGTTGTTGAGTGGAAGTGGGGCGTCAGTTAACAGAATGGCCACTGTTCCGATCATGGGTTCGAATAACTCCAGATGGTTCGATAGAAAAGCTCAGGGAAGCAAGCAGACACAGTCCAGCCAAGACAACAAATTCGTTTTCACTCTAGAGGTGTTTTTGCTTTAAAATAAACAAATTACAACTTTTGGAAACACTTCATAAAATATTTTTTGTTTGGTTTTTAATGTCTTGCTTCTTTGTGGCGTGCCAAGACAAAACAGACACACTATTGACCTTTAAGTCTGTGGAGGACAAAGAGTGCCAAACTAAACAATCAATAAAAAAATGCTCCATTATTTGGATGAAAAACCTTTTAAATTGCCTTAACTTAGTTATAAAAAGGGACAATTATATTATTTTATTTGAATTTCTTCTGTATTTCTTCTCTATTCACAACAGCCAAGAAAAGACACGATCAAGACAGACTTGTGGACTTTCCAATATGTCCATAATATTGAATAATAATGTTTGCAAATATCTGTCAGAACTATGTCTCAAAATGTTTTTTATTGAATAGGTTTCTGGTGCATTGAGAGAAACTATTTTGTGTGTTTGTTTATGTATTAATATTTGTTTGAGTATTTCTCTGTTTGCATTGTTACCACAATAATCCAAAGACATCCTGAAGCTGTAAAGTCATAGAAAATAAACAAAGAAAAATAGACTTTAACGTCAAAGCTTTGACATTTAGGAAACAAAGATTTTGTTTTTAAAGACAATTTTGGACTTGTTTTTCAAATACTGCACATATTTATTTATTTCCAATTAAATTTAAATCCTTAATCAATTTGTTAAACATGTACTAAAAATAGCAGGCTCCAGCCCCCCGTGACCCTGACAGGGAAAAGCAGAAGAGAATGGATGGAATTTACTAAAAATATTTGTTTTAAATCGTGA